CCCAAAATTATTATATTTTGTAAGTGACATCCACGTATAACATTTATATTATCCTTTAAAATATACTACCTACTAATAATGCAATCGTTTTTTTTATATGTAACTCATTAAAAGCATGCCTATATACAGCGATGAGACGTGACATTCCTTAACTTTTTTCTATCCTACAAATGGAAGGAATTTCTCCCAGTCTATGACAAAAGGTTTTAAAAATAAATGTTAGTAATTAAGTCATCACAATAACCAAGTTATGTTGTATCTAGCACAGAACATGGGTACGAGAGACGCATTGTTGTCGCTAATGTTACATCGCGTGATTGTGTTATTACATGTTATTTTTAGAGCTCGGAGTAACAGAGCCATGACATACGTGTCACTTTACTGTTAACTATTGTTGATTACTCCAGCTATGAGTAAATGTAGCTAAGTGTTGTTTTAGTTCTTGGTAAGGGCTCATTACGAGAAATGATATATCGTTGTTAAACCTGACAAACAGTAATTATAGAAAATTCTATGCAATAACTGTTATTTGACATATTCGTCGTGTAATTGTAACCTGTAACAGCGGTGATTGAATAGTCTTGAGTTTTGTACTATTGTCTTCTGTTGCCTCTGAAATTAATCTCCACAACAGTTATGTATCACGTTACAATAAAAATAACTACCGTATAGCGAAGACGTTGCAGGCGAGTGAATTCCACGGTCACATTCCAATCGACTTCTTACCAGCCATCCATCCAGCGCATCTCAGATCATGATGCATTCCAGACTACTTTTAAATAAAGGGAACTATTCCGTATACAAGAAAGTTTAAAGCATACTCTCTGTACTACTGCATCTAGGTGATATTATGAGTAGCACTATCATAATACTTGGACTAAATCGGTAAAAAAACTAGTGAAATAAATCACAATGAGACCGCACGAGGCGAGCCACTCTGTGTTCGACTCAATGTTTTTTTCACGATCTAATTAAACTGATTGAAAGTCAAGCTCCGGATAAGAGCGGAATGCGGTCGATGTCGAAATATCGACTTAGCTTTTTGTGCTACTTTATATATTATATGTATGATTTTAAATTACCGAGTGTCAATGAACTCTAGGGCTGGCTTTTCAACGGCAATTTATGCTCTATAAAAATGAAACGTTACCACCACCTGCCGGTGTTTACTTACGCTACTGTCACGCTAAATAAATATTTACTCGATAAATTGAAACGGTGAATCTAACATAAACATGTTTGAGACACAATGCCCGTGTTTGTGGAAAGCCGGCACGCGAGTAATTTACTCAACAGTGGATGACGGAACTGTTATGATTTAGGGCCATTGAGAGTTAAACGGGGATCATTGTAGTCGTGACATTTTACGGCCCACGCGAACGGGAATCTTTATTGAGAGGTCTGCGGTCAGGTAGCCTTTGATGGTATTGTTGCTTAATGCACCGATAAACCGATTAACCGACAGGTGGCGATCAACACCGCAGCTTCCTAATTCGCTGTTTTAGAAGTTCGATGAACGGATTCATTATTCAAATGTTATTCGTGTGGCGTGAAAGCGCTTCGATAACCTCGACGTCGGGACGTGGACGGAATTACTGATAATTGTAAAACTGGTATCCTTACAATAATTTTGTGACACACAAATTTCGCCTTTACTCCCAACAATGAGGTGCTAGAACCGCGTTATACGATTCCTCGTTGCAGATAAACCGTCGCATTTCCATCGCATTAACGCGAAAACGCTTCAGCTAGCCGGCGTTAATCAAACAAGGATTACATCATAGTGCATCTTACTTTCAGAATGTTATAATGAACGAGCGGGGCTTGTTTTGCGCTAGGAAGTGATGTCGATCAAGTTGTCTGTGGCAGACGGCCGCTATGTGTAATAACGTTGCCATGCAGTTTGACTGTAATATCGAGTGTTGCTAAGCGTTTCCACAGGGCTTTATTACACTCATAACAATTTCTATCAATTTCTACTATTATTATATTAATATATAGTTATATATCCACATGAAAGTTGAAACGTAAGACATGAAGTCATAGCCACTTGAAATAGCTGTTAAAATTTACCTGTTCGAATTCATCTTTTTGTTCATAATATACTGTTATTTTTATTTCTAATTAAAATTCAAATCCCATTTTATGGGAACCACAATATATCTTATGAATTTTAAAACTTAAAATAATTTTAGCCCGCAAATATAGGTATCTAGTGTATGAATTATTTAATAACGCAACAAGAGTAAACCTAAGAATAAACATCAGCCGTTCGTAATTAGGTAAGAGCTACTGGCGCCGAGTATAAACACAGAGACATACATACACGACGACATTTATTACAGCAGAAAACTTGAACGCAAATAGACCAATAGTGATTGGAGATGTTGAAAAACAACCAATGGTAGCGGAGATAAAAACGATTCAAATATTTAGACAAGCTCCAAAACATCCGGCTCCATAACTAACTGAAACCAATTAGATCTCTTGATTACAAGACCTTCTGTCCGACTGTTTGTTGCTCTGTAGTTATTGTTAATTGTCACGCGTGTGCTTGTTAGTTATTCATCATACACATTTAATGATCACGAACATTTTACATATAACATGTTATTTTCGATTGCCATATAGAATTCTCGAAGCAAAAAAATGTTCTATGGGTTCTGGGTGAAAGGCCAGAAGATTCGATGATACAAGACATTTGAATATGTAATGCCAACAAGGCCGATATACAACCTTGCTTAATATCCAATCATCAGAAGCCAGTTATGACTCCAATCAGAATAGCAAAACCTGCTTTGGCTCGCGCCGCGCTGACGTTATTAGCGTTATAAAGTACTAGATAAAACGTGCTCGGACAGCGTGTGAAAATTCGGAGAAAGTCGCCGTAGCAACATTTGTAACCTTATTGGGAATTTTACGTCTGTTCCAAACATCCATAGATTGTTTTGATATGAAACTATTTGATTCCAAACATCACTTAAAAGTTATAACTACAGGGATTCTAGTTTATCGTAACTAGCAGAACTATTCTTGCTAAGTCAAACACTATCTCAGAGTTAATCTTAATTGAATCTCGAGATGCAACAGAACTCGATACTGAAGTAGCATTATTTTATGATATTGAAGAGACAGTGCAAAACGGAGCGAACATTTATCTCGTTCTTATGATCTCGGCCGAGGCCGGAGGAACGTTTCAATCGCGATTTAAAAATACCGGCTCCTGATTTGAACGGGTTCTTACCGTATAATAAACACATCCCAAAACCTTTATTTGGTTGTTGAGATTTACATCGCTTTTAATGTGATTGATGGTGATCAAACTTAGTTTAATACAAACAGCGAGTGAATTATGGTTAACTTAACAAACAGTTTGCAATTTGAAATGACATATTAAATACATATAATACTAAAGAGGGAAAAAAACGAAACATTAGTTCCGCGCATTCCGAGTAAATGCAGCGTGAAGCTGCGCCAGCGCCGCTTCTAAAAACTAAGCATTTGAGTAAACATCCAACTTCCAAGTGAATAATAAATGTTGAACAATAAAATTAAAAAGTTCCAAGACGTTAAGAAGCTCTCCTATGTTATAATGTTTTATCCCATACTCATGCATCCTATCGGCTCATTAGTCCCTGTCTCCCTCTAGCCTCGCTCCGTCTCCCTCACTCTCGCCTCCGGAGGGCCATTTATCAATACCAAATAACATGCCGGGGCCTTTTCTTTTCTGTTTATTTATTTTTTATTTACCTTATCCTCCGATGCTCCGTTTGTCTTCCTTTTTGTATTGAAATTAATTGTAAAGCTCTACTAATGACGTCCATCTTATATCTATAGACGGCACGATAACGCTAATTGAACAACTAATGAAAGAATGTTTAAAATTATATACATTTTTTTTTAATCTATAACATTTTATAACTCTAAAGCTCTAATATAATCGATGTTTTAAATCAAACAGATCTAAGAAATTTAAAGATATTTTTAATCAAAGGAATCGAAACTAATATATTTTTATATTTGGCTTACAACATAATTTTTGTGTTTTTTTTTTCTGGAAATCTGATGAGTGCAGATCTCAAAGACTACGGCTTTCGATTGATCTTAAAGTTTTTATAAAATTTGTAATTTAAATCATCTTGTTTAATACTGCAGTTCTTGTAAAAGAATTCGATGTCGTCTTTAAGGTATTTGCGTATTCAGTCCCTCGAATACTAATTAGTGAATGCGAATTTTAATGTCTTGTTTCCAATAAAAAAAAAACTAAAACCTCACCGTATCTTGAATTACAAATCATTCAGAATTTAGACATGATGAAGTCAATTTTGGGAACGAGTGGAATTCCGATGTGGATAGTCAGGGGGGGTCTGGCTGCGTTTTTAACTCGGCCCGAGAGCAAATAAAGCGGCGTCCCTCTGAAATTAATTTCGTTTTGTTTCATCGTCTGGAGTCGAAGCATTTACATTGAATGCGGTCGGAGGCTGGCTCCCAGGATATTTATGTAAGAGTCCTCCTTGCATGACGTTCGCATTATTCATACACAAATGCCTGCCGGACCATCTGTATTATATTTTACAGGTTTATAAAATACGGACAAGTGCTTTGTTTTAACAACAAATATATTAAACCATATAGCTATTTCGACGTGACGTTTTAGTTATACGAAACTCAAGCCGGTCAAATCGTGTAATGATGTAACTTAACACCAAATAAAACATCAATCATATAAATCTAGTACGTTTTACGGCTGTTATAAAACAAACCTCTGTGATAGTCACTAAAATGGTCAGGTGATTCATAGTTGTATACACATTACAGGCACTAGAGGTGGTTTGTAACTATCAAAGTTTACGAGGCCTGGGCGCCTCACAGACGATTGGATTCACTAACATTCGCAGCATTTCCCTTCACATAATAACAGTTTCCTTGATCTATGAATAGCTTTTATTCTCATGACTTGCATAAAGCGATCCTAGTTCTAAATTCTCATCCATTATAATATGATCTATTTATTTCTAGATCCAAAAGTGGAAGGCGAGACGGATGGTGTCAGATGTTACTGCAACACGGCACAGTGTGTCAGCACAGGGTACATGTGTAGGTCAAGAAAGACTGGTGGCTGCTACAGTGAACTGCCCGTGAGAAGACATCACGCTAGACATGGCTGCATTCAACATCTAGCTGATACGTAAGTACTCATAAAATTATTCAAACAAATCTTTTATACTGATTTTTTCTCTTTACTTAGCCTCTGCCTTATTATACTACCACTTAGAAAGTTTTATTTTGAGTTTAAAATTTGATTTTATTCTTAAAAAATATAATATATATGAACATTAATATTTCATAAAATTTTCGTTACATATTAAACAATTGTATCAAATCAAATTCGTTCCTGCTGAATTTTATTACGGATAATTATGTTACCTAAAGTATTTCTATATAAAAAAATTCAAAGTTTTTGTATGAATGTTAGCGTGAAAACTCAAATTCGCATCATACCTTTAAGAATTGTAATTTAAAACTAAATAAATAGTCATCAGGTTGGTTTTTATATGTTTTCATTAACGTTCTTTGTTTTCTTTTGTAATTAAACTTTTTTCCCATCAAACATTATCTTTTATGCCGCGGACGGTCTCATGTGTTTCTCGTTTAACTTTCATCATAGTATTAATTAATTATTCGTTTGTTAGTCCAGCTTCTAAACGTGCTGTGTCATCCATCAAAACAGCTTATCATGTTATAGAACCAGCTCCAACATATTGCATTCCGTGTATCTTCAATCAATTTGTCTGGTCATTTCAAAATTACTTTATAGCTCTTTCATCATTGTCGACAGCGGAACAATTATCAGCTGATGGATTTATATGTATTAGATTTACTGTTAGAAGAAGAATATTTTCTTTATTATCGTATAAGTTTCTTGGTGTATTATAAATTTTAATTATTCTCCGATCCGCCGTCCGTCGTCCGACCAGAACAGGTTCCTCAGTCGGACGCATGCCCGCTTTTATTTGCTTTAAATTATTTTTACTTCTTTTTTGGCAATCTTCCTTTTATTATCTCCGCTAACGATCGACCGGTCCGCTTCGTTAAGATTTCAATCTACCACAAATTGAATGCGCTTTCATATATAATTAATACATTTATTTAGCTATTGTTAATAAATTGCTATGAAATATTGAATCTTTGTCCTCATTTGTTGAGATAAGAGTGTAGAAGCTCGGTCGTAGGTCGTGATCTAAGATAGCGGCTGTTCAGAGCGCTCCATATATTAGTAGCAACAAATCGATACCTCTTTCTCTATAAGGACATAAAGCTCCTAATGCATTATCATACGACACGATATTTTAATGTCAACAGATAGTGTTTTATTCCTTCGACGTTTCTATTATTCCGTATCGATAAAACAAGTGTTTCAACCTCTTATCGTACGTACATTTATTTATAGTTATTATTTAAATCGTAGATTGCATTATAAATATTTTTACTCTCAGTATTGTGCCGTCAAAGATTTTAATTAAAAGTTACCTTACCTTAATTGCTTGTTGGTTTAAATGTTTGTAAAACTGTTTTATATTTTAATTAGTGGCTGTTTCAAACCAGGAATAACATGTTTTATTGATTACTATTACCTATCTTATAGTAATTAGTATCCCTTTTAGACTCGTCATATTATATATAATTATATATGACGTTTGAGGGGGGATTATAGAAATAATATTTGTATACCAAATATTCTTAGTATGGAGTTATACTGAGGATGTTCTGTTTTACATACATTTTTCTCTTTTTGTATCGAATAATATAATTTTTATTTTGATCGTTATATTTCTATACGTTAACTTTATAAAGAAGTTTTAGATTTAAAAATATAATTTCAATATACATATGTATATCAGATTCTTGTTTTTATCAACAAAAGTCGTTGTGCAGTAAGACATTAATATATAACACAAAAGATTCATACATATTTACATTTCAAATGTTCTTGACTTGATATAGTTCCCGATGTTATTTATATGAGCATTATTAAAACAACCTTTTTCCCAGCATCTTTTTTTAATACATTTTAGCGTAACAAAATATTCGAACATGTTATCTTCGGAACGTCTTCCAAACTAATGTCTTAGCATACCAGAGATAGCAACTTTAATGTTATTAGAATATTTGGACAAATTTTAGTTATGGTATCTATAATGTCGTTTCCCACGAGAAAGGCCGCAGCTATTCAAATTAGTTGAATAGTTGATGGCATGGAGTTGCAAGGTTAACTGTCGACTTAATGAGCAATTTATGCGGTGAAAGATGGCTTTATATAACTCAAATGTGCTTTATTGGAAACTAGTTATACGTGTTTTATATCATTAAATACAGTGATTTCATTTAATTTAAGGGTATGAACTTATTTACAAGCTATTAATCTTGCAAGTTTGAAAATGTTAAAATATTCACGCTTCTATATTTATCATTTAAAATGGCGTCATAATTTCTTAAATACTCTCAAACCTTTCAAATACATATTAATAATGAAAATAATTTAACTACACTCAAGCAGTAAGACTCTATAATGATGAAAAATTTCCAAGTTAGTTTGTTATAAGTTTTGTTAAGGTAAATACGATCCTCGATGTTTCATTATCGATGCTTTGTATTCAACTCTCGTGTTCGACCGTCGGCGTCTTTATTGTTATTTAGCATACATTTTGCGAAGTCGTTTTAAATTTTCAACAAACTATAACACAATTTTAGTATTGAACGTGTGCTGCATCACTAACATATTGAGTGTGACCATACGTTTTGAAAGCGCACATAGGATCTTCTATTATCGTACGAAATATTCTAAGTTATAAAATATAGCAAGCTTGTTTTTCATCTTTTAAAGTATATATCGATTGACTACGATATGTATATCGTATTTAAAAAAATATATACTTAATGTTTATAAACCCGATAAATAATACTTTTTATTTTTTTACAAATTTTTATTAATATGTAGGTATACATATATATTATAAGCAGTGTCTGCATTTTGTTCATCATAAACATTTAGATTTTAAATATAATTTACCTAATTATTATGATTAATATAAAGTTACTATTTTAAATTAACACTTATAAAACCTTTCAAGTAAGTTCTAATTTAAAGATCATTTTTGTTATAATATTTAACACATATAAAGTCAAGTCACAATTCGTCCCTTTATTTTACGATATGTTCAAATAGGAATTTATTTAGCATATAATATTTATTTATATTTGAAAACTCGGCCCGTGTGAAATATGAGTTGGCAAACGTTTGCAATTTTATTCAAATTGATAGTCGTTTCCTAACGCGTTCCGTAAACAGAATTGCAAAATGTTCTTGCATACATTTATTTTTACTTTAGCATACTTAATTGCAATTGCTGTGCATTCCAGGGAACAGGAAGCGCTATCCCACTGTCAAGATACACAAGACAACAGCATCAACATCAAAGTCATCTGCTGTTTTAAGGATCTTTGCAATCACGAAGACAGTCCTTTAGCCAGAGCTCGATTGAACCTCACTAATGATATAGGTATGTATTATATACTTTAAAATAATTTTTAATATAAACAAGATTTTGGAGATCGAGATCTTTTAAATTGTATGAGAATTCAGTCCACTATACTTTTACTTTGGAAGTCATATCTGTTACTACGTGGTATTACTGTCATTTGCTTATTTCGATGGCTCCTATGTAAAAGTGCCAATGTGCCATATGACAATTGTTCAGTAGATCCATTTTAAGTTTGATTTCATTGTATCTTGTACATGCGACGACTGATGCTTTTGAAACTTTGCATAGCAACTATGACATACATGTACGTCATTTAAGCTTGATAAACTTTTTTATAAACCTACTACTTTTTAAATATGCGTCTATATTCTTTATAATACACATTATATAAGCCCTTAGGGGAGAGTTGGTTATATCGTACTAGCATTTAAATCGTACCACTTCTTAATTTCCCATTTAATGAATATTTTTTTCTACTCTGACAACGCCAAATCGTGGCCCTGCACCATCCCTCTTCACCCACTAGTTTAAATCGACGTGAGTTAACAACTGTGCACGTAATAAAAGAAAAACATTTTTTGTAGGAATTAATATAAATATTGTCGTACATTCGTAAGGAGATAACTCGTAATCAAGGTAAGCTATAGTTATTCAGTTTTTTTTATTATTCCACAATTGTTTACTAGATTATTGGGGGTTTTTGTTGCGTGTTTAAGTTTTGAGTTTATGCCGGATATTTGCTTTTGTTTTAGAAATGTCTTAGTTGGTTTAATCGTACCACTTGCAGTTGGTTAAATTGTACTGGTACGATTTACCCGACTACCCACCGCAAGTACCCATAGTACTACCACAAGTACGTATAGTAAGTACTACCCAAGGCCAAGTACAAAAGTTATAAGAGGAAACGATCTCATTCCATCACCAGTAGCGATGATTCAGGAGAGACACTTGTTGTAGAACTAGATGATGATGATGACAGCGATGATTATCTTGAAAATATATGTCGAAAGTGCAATTGTTCTTACTACGATAACAAGGGTCCAAAAGTTGATTGGATTCAATGCGTTCGCTGTAAACGGTGGCTACATGAGACCTGTACTTCGAATCCAGACATTTGTCATGATTGTTTCCATTAAGAAATATGCACAATAATTATATTACAAATAACATTCTTGTTAACTGTTACCTTATTATTATAGTTTACTGTTTTTTTTTGTCTCATTTTTATTAGTTATGTTGATTGATCTCATTATCATAATATAATCATGTTATTTTACTGAGAAAGCTTATAGTTCCTTTATATAACCTAAGAGTTAAAAATTATGTTTCTATTACCTAAAAGATATAAATAATGTTGTTTTATTACTTACCTAACAGTTAAAAATAAATAATTTGATCGAGAATTTTAATGTCTTTCATTGAGTGGTACGACTTAAACACCCATGGTACGATTTAAAGACTTAGTGGTACGATTAAAACGACTAGTCGGCTAAATCGTACCGATGGCAAGCCTCTATAAAAAAGCATTTTTAACAATGTTAGAATAATCGCAAGGATTTGTTCTCTTCTTCTTAGGAAGCTAAAATATGAAACTTTATTTTACATATGTATTAATTATTATAAGACGTGTTAAAGTCGAAATATTTGAGTTAAAGTGAAAAGTGGTACGATATATCCGACTCTCCCCTATACGTTGAAAAGTGTGTTATTTTTGCCTTCTTATTTCAATAAAAACTAAGTCTTCTACCAACAAATACACATTTTTTAAATGGATGTTGTAGAATACAATATTATTAAGTGTTTAAAGCAAAAAAATTATAATGATTAAATTGCTACATTGGACCTTATACATAAGACCCATCGATTTATGAATATTTATATATTAGCTATATTTTAATGGATGGAAAGAATTTTCCATCTTTATAGACAGCTTCTATTAAGCTATTTTCTGCAATGATATTTCTTTTGCACAGACATTTCACGTCGTCGTATAATATAAAATGTAATACATCGAAGCAATAAAATTGTAAATACAATAGTTATATCAATAAAATGTAACCGTTTCCTAGAATAAAGATATACCAGTGTTTATTTAATGTAAGCGGTGAGTCAGTGTTCTTCAAAGTTGTTTTAAATTCAATGCGGCTAGATAAATAATTGTTGTGCAATAAATTATTTACAATATTAATGTTTTATTCAACTTATGTTAACATGTATGTATGTATTGTTCTTTATGTATTTTGTTAATCTATATATTTTATATGTAACAGTATTATTTCTCTTCATATACATTAACGATGTACATATCTCATTACATATAATTGTTGCGGCTACGCTTGCACTTTCGTAGAAATGTATTCGGTGGACATTTCATTATAATGATTCCGCTTAATCTATATGATTCTATAAATCGCTTGCTGTTTTATTGACAATGGCATTTCATGATAGTCCCATAAAATGTGCTTCTAAGACGCTTTCCTGAACTCGAAGTCGACTTGTTTCTATTATACAGTGAATATGTTAAGATAGATTTGAATTTATTTCTTATTGTGTTGGATAGGGCACTAAAAGATACGAGGAAATGTAAGAGGTATTACATTTTATAGTTTTCTACTTATTGGATCTAAATCTGGTCTATTTAAACTTATAGACTAGGTGCATATTATTTTAAACCTTTATTATTACTTTACTTAAAGAAATCATTTTTGGCATAAATCCTTCACTCTAGCTCAATTAGTATATGAGTAGAAATTATAAAAAAATATTATAATTAATTAAGGACAGTTATAATGATTATAATTTTAATATTAAGTATCAATTTGTTCAGTCACACAATAAATAGAATCTGTCTCGATAAGTGTTATAAGCACTTTAGAAACTCCAGCTATACTAAAATTAACATAAAAAATATAGAAGAATACAGACAAAAACGGAATTCAAATTCTGTTTTACAGTTGCTTAGTATCATGTTATATATTTACAACCAAATAATGATAATCTATCACTGTTTCCAGAAGGCAGTGTGGCGAGCGAGCGTGGTTCATACAACAGTGAAGTATGGTTCAAAGCTGCCACAATAGCTGTTCCCGTGTGTGGCGCCCTCATACTGTTCCTGCTTGTGGCTGTGGCGGTCAGGTTACTGAGGGCTGATGCCCAACTACAGGCTGATAGAAAACTCAGGTTAGTTATGAAATTTTGTATCATACTTAACCTCCTTATTTTTAAACCTTCGTTTTTTTTAAGAATGTTTCATTAAGCATTTATTTATATGAAAATCATTAAAGCTAACACTGTTCTACTATAAAAACCAAATTTTTTTAAGGGAAACGATTATAGCTACTAGGAGATAATATTTTTCGGATTATACTTTTATTCACGGGCAGACGAGATGTGAATGACGTTGCTGTAAAGTAGCCGAATCATCGGGAGTATGCAGTTTTTTAACAAAAATAAAGTCCCGTAGTATAATCCGACAAATATTAGTTTCATTTAAATGAATAAAACTCGCGAAAATCTTAGATCTCATTAGTTTATTTAGTCATTTATTTAATACTAAACTAATAATTTCCAGAGGCGGCTATACATCCCCACCACAGCACATTGATGACGTCAAGAAAGTATGGGTCGGGAATTCCCCACTCCTGATGTCGGGATGTCTTGTAGTCGAAAGAGCTCAGTTGGTCGCTAGCTGCGACACGCGATAGACCTCCCGCAGTGGATTGGCGTGCACACATCAATATGAATGGATGATTTATACATTTAATCCGTATCGAATTTACATATCATGTTCTATTGTATTCGTCTTATATCCATTCATGATTAAAAATGAATATGAATCTTGTAAATTGATCTCATACGTCGATCCACGTGCTCGCATACCAAATCAACAACAATGTATATTTATGTTATTATAAGCGCTTTGTGTTCCTCTATTTGTAAATGTTTTGAATAAAAAATCATTTTCATACGTAACGTGTAAGTTACCAGGTTTTGAACGACGGACATTATGTGTGATCGAAGTTTTACTCGCTCATACATAATGTACCATATGAATATTTCTACAATAATATTGACAATACATATTGTATTATAGTCATATATATTTACAAGGAACTGTATTTTTGTATTGTTATCTTACGTCATTTATAAATTTGACAATATTTGTTCACTTTGCATTTAATATGAATCTTTTGTATGAACTAACTCGGCATAAGACCATATAGCCGACTGATATATTACTATATGGCTCTGGAATCATGTATACATATATTATTATTAACAAACTTAGTTTTAATATTAATATTGCTATATTACAACAATACTAAACGTTGGTTATACACCATGTATTTATATATAACAGACTTCGCATAACCAGTGTTATGTGTTATTTAAATGTTATTTCTATCTCGCTCATACCGTGTGCTCTCACTCGCACACAAAATAGAAATGAAATTGTCAAACTAATTATCTAGAAGAGTCATATCATGTTACACATGGCCTTACAAAATAATTTATCGTATTTGAAAAGTCTCATCAAAATTCGTACAGCCATTAAAAATATTACTTCACGCCAAGCAGAACTACATACATAGACATAAAACTACAGATTTTTTAAAGTTTTCGATTTTTCTGTTTTAAAGTATAAAGAAAATATATTCTGGAAAAAAAAAATTAGTTACTTAGTCATTCAGTTAAATTATATTTATGTGTAGATACAATATGTTTATGAAGCAGAATCCTGCATTACTTGAGGCTAAGCATTCTCTATGATGTCACAATATTTTTTTCGTATTAAGACATTTTGTAAATATAACAGTAAGTTACCCACGGGACCGTCGATTTCTGTAAGCGACATCTATTGGAGGTTAACTAGTCCTTTGTATCTGATTTTTTTTAACATTTTTTCTCCATATAGATCTTGCTTGTGGTCAAAAATGTGATCAAATTAATATATTTAGATGAATTATCTGTTTTTTTATAGTTTTTGGTGTTATATAGGACATTTTTGTACCACGTATCAGATATTGACACACATAAGCTTCCTTAAGGTGCCTTACCTTTGTATAAGTTTTTTTATTATATGTAAGTGTTTTTAATATAGGTGCAAGTAAAATACTCCATAATGTTAAAGAATATATACCTGCGTTTGTACATATGTATGATCAATGAAAAATAAATGAATAAAATAAAATTATTTTATAATTTTGGTGGATTTTATTGAGTTAAATCGATTAATATAAATTAAATCTCCCTGAACTAAGAAATAAAGCATGTGAAGGCAAAAATATTTTCTGTTATTTGTAAGTAAACCTCTTTTATTTATATATTATTACTTTAAAGCGTTAATGTAAGAAAAAATAAATAAGTCCCAGGAATTAATATTAGTCGTTGATTGTATATCGACTTGTAAAAACAGGCATTATCTTTTTAAATCAGGATCCTTGAAAGACAAATTTAAGTTTTCATTCTGTACCTTATAGAATAATTAAATTATTTTAGTTATGCGATATACAGAAATGATAAACCATTAAGCCTTTTGAGTACCAGAATATGATCTGATCTTTATACATTACTTAAACAGATTGAGAACTTTAAGTTTTCACAGGTCGTTTAATGAAATTTACTTAGTAGTGAATGCATAATGATCGTGGATAGAGTATTCTCAATACATACTATATCTGAAAAACTTATCAATAAGGCCATCAGTTTAGACCCTGTTGAAAGCTACCGGCAAATCAAGTAAAACTGCGACAGTTTCACCGTTGTGGTCTAGCCCTCTCTCCCATAAGTTTTTGGTGTGAAACTGAAGTCTATGATTATAGTGAATTCCTAGTCGACCGATTTCGGTAAAACTCGTGTTGTTAGTCATTAAAAAGATCATTTTCTAGGTATGCTTTAAGCAGTATCTATATATACTACTACTATATACCTCTGTAGAGTTTCCCTGCGACATCAAAAAAAAATACCTCTGTAGGTAATTGATATTGGACGATAGCAAGATCTAGACAGCAACCCTCATTCGGCATAAATACTACGTTTGTATGCTTTCAATACTTAGGCATCATACCAATCGATCAAAAAGAAATGGTATCGCAGGTCATTGAAACTCTCGAGTGAGCTTATGAATACCAAACTCTTGCAGGATTGTATCTTGAAGATTAAAGTTTGCCTCAGCTGTGATATAGACCAAGAAGTAAATTATTTTTTTACAGTATGTCAAGCCGCGGTTTTTTATGAGAATCGTCAGCAGAGGAATCATGACCAAACTGTGTACAAAACAAACCATAGGCAAACGTATGCCGTTCCTGTTAATATTTATTTGTTTATTATTTGGGCGTCTTCTAGAAAGGCTGTGTATATTGTTAATGCTGCCACGAATGACTTATAAAGAACCGAAGTCTTTCTGATGTTTTTCGGACTATCGAGCCTTTAAAGTAAAGTTGCGGATGATGACTTACTAAATCTGATTGGAAATGATGACAACAAAGTTGACTGGACGTTTAAAAGTTGGGTAAATTTAAATCTATAGATTTTCTATGTACCAAAACTAACTTGTAATTTTAATACCTACAATTAGTACATTTTATTATTTCAGTATATTACCCGAACAAGGGTTCTGAATAGCGTTCTGTTTAAATTTTATATACAGTCATGGCAGACGGCAAAGTATAAGTTACTGCTACATACAAAAACAAAGTTCATCAACTGAATGTCAAAAAGTATGTTTGAATTATAGCACTATATAATATAGTTACTTCCTCCTACTCCTTGCGATTAAGCGATTCATAAAATATACCTGCATCGAAGATACCGCTGGGTACCTTTTTACCTGAATGCTAGTAACAAGTATGTGATGTGTAACGGTACGACGAATTAGCTTAGATTATGAGGTAAAACAATTTCAGGCTTGTGTTTTAACGGGAGGTAGACGCTACATCTGTTCTCTGAAAAATTTCTAAATATGTCTGACAGTTTGTTAGGAGTGGTACATAATGAGATCTCTCCAGAGGCTTTCATATACTTTTTGCAAGTTAAAAAACATTAAGACTTTAAAGGTTGTATTGAGAAAACGACCAGGGTAAAATAGGCATCCTTCGATTGAGTAAGGAATTGAAAGATTAAAGATAGCTTTCAGATGTTTTTAAATTAGCATGTAGTCATGCATCAAACTTCTGTGCAGTATTTCCAGGTCAGAACGTGTTAACGACGGAGCGAACCTGACCAAAGTGGAGCAGATGGCGTGTATAAGTGCAGAAAGGTGAGTTGGATAATCGATTCTCGTGACAGCCGGTTATATAAAAAATCGGACGCCTAACAAAACTGTGATGGGGATGTCTTGCGAGGGAAAGTGGTTTGACAAAATGGAAAATTTTAGTGACCTTTCGACCTTTGGCTGTGTTGCTTTTGTTTTAGTTCAAAATCGATGGAAACTGAATGGGATATATAAGAAGTATTTTCGTTGAAAATTGTAAGATACTGGGTGACTGAAAAATGCTTAGCAGCCAAAACACATACTTAGTACTTTTGAAAATAAATTTATTCTCTTTTGAAAATATAAACTGATGTTCCTTATATAAATATACAGTAAACTGTAATCTATTAAGCCCGTAATCGGTCCTGGATACGAAAATTATGACTATTAAATAAAAATATGAACAGAAAATGTTTCCTACTTAAAAAGCAGTAACGAACCTAGAACGATTTGTTTCATTTTGTCAGAATTCGACAAAAACAAGATAACATTCATTTATGTTAACGGTTTCTCCATCGGTCCACTAAAGTTTAAATATATGATCACATTTCCATTTTGTTTACTTACATACATGCAATGTATAAAATTAACATTAAGGACATTACAAAATTCCATTTGAATATTAATTGTTTGAATGATCTTATCACTACATCTTGTTTTCATTTAAATCATATATTTTCCGAATTACATATAAAATTTTACTATTGGTTTATCATGGCATAAAAATTTCATTAATCCCTCATAATCATTGGATACATATTATATTTGTTTTGTTCTTTTACGATCTTTATTAGTATCATCGTAAATAATGATAAATTAGATGTATTATAAAAATCCTGAATAACTTTAATAATAGCTATTAAACACTATTTTCACTTCTTACTACCTTTTAATAAACTTCATAAATATTATATAAAATAAGTACATATACATATATAATATCTGTCACAGTAATAAATAATATGACAAAAAAATAACATTCCATTACGAAATAACATATTAATAATTTGTTAATATGATTTTTAATATCTTAATTAACAGCATTAGATTCAATAGACAGATAACACGTTCATATAAATATGACAAACTCTTCATATGTTACATTTTTAAAGTTAGCGTCACAACTTTTAAGGTAAGAATTTTTGAAATTGATATATAAAATATAATAAGAATTTCGAGAGGCAAAATAAAACTTGGATCAATATTTCTATAAACAAAAAACACATCTAAATTCTTACATATATTTTTTAGTTTTACTCTTATCAAACTATTAGGTACTAACATGAACAAAGTAAAAGCAGTGTTAAAATGAATATAAAATTATCTTGGAAGTGACAAAATTAGTTATAAACTAATCTTGATATAGGTACATACTATTCAACAATGTGAGTATCAATGCTTTGGTTCAAAAGTATACAAAGCACATTCTCCCTTCTTGACGCAGTTATTGCAATCCCGCCGTCCTTGTTTACATTTATCACGACTTTATAACGAAACTGTTTGTAAACATCTAGTTGTTTACAATTTGTAATAGAATTTATTAATACCTTTTTAATTACACGTAATTATTCCAGCGGTTTGGTTTCTATTTTCTGCTATTGTAGTTAGATTATGCTTAAGTTGATTTTTTAAATATTTCTTAATTATTTATTTTTTATATAAAAATCGATATAATGAGATAATAAGTTCCATTTATTATTTTTGTAATAGCGTAATTATTCATAATCAATAGGTATGAGTTTTATAGCACCAAGGTTTTCAAGCAAATCTGTGATTAAGACGAAATAAACATGTTAATTATATATCGAGTGAAACATAAAAGAAGCTGTCGCCAGTTTCAATATGTCATTTTCAACTTGCAAACTTACGATAATATTCATAAAAAAAATTCACACTTGTGTCATAAGGTATAAACTGATGCAAAAATTATTTATTATTCCTTATATATTGCTTAGATACTTTCAAGACTTAAACAACTGTTTCGAACGGCGACTGTTTGACCCAATGTTTACTTTTCCAGATAAAAATGACGAAAGAATCAGAGACAATTGAGCAAGCGAAGGGAAAAGTGCTCAACTTCGATCATCTAACGTTCTGGGTGGCGAACGCAAAAACGGTAAAATATAAGACTTAATGATTTCTAAGACATTCGCGAGTATACATTTAAGTAAAACTAATATTTTCGGATGTACTATCTCGTTTTTGATTATTTTAAACAACATAGTCCTGACGATTCGGTTACTTTGCATATGACGGCAGACTCATCTCTTCTGAAAAAATATGATAGTTTATCAGAAAATATCAGTTTTATTTATATAAGTTTTAAAAGTACCATGGTTTGTGTCTACATTTTACAAAGGAGTTGTTTTGTTTGTTGTTCAAGGATTGGTCCTCTTAAAGAAAACCATATGTTATTAATGAATTGAAAACCATATGTTATTAATAAAAATAAAATCAATCATATTAAAGTAACATTTCGTCCTTCGAGTTTGAGTTTAATATACTTTACGATGTAAAAATATATGTATAAGCAAGTTGCGCTTTGGTTTTTCAAACACCCCTTGATCAACAAGATCATAGATCATAAATCCAAAATTTTGCTAACTCTCATAATAAAAACCACAAATTTTTTAATGTATAGATATAAGTTTTTAAAAATTATTATTTATCTTTCATCATAATTGATTGTATAAATGGTAAAAATGTGAAAAACAATAATTATAGAAAATTTGTACAGTGACATATTCGATATGTACCAACACAAGGTTTACTTTTATATTTATTCAGTTACTCTAATTATTATTTGTATCAAAGGAAAATAATAAAGAAACGTATTTGATAGAAACTCAACGAGGTCGGGTTTAAAGTCGAAGTTGTTATAAATTCCACTACTGTTTGGTTTAAATTTAATGGTGATTATAAAGGATAATTTTTAATTGGAAATGACTGTGTGCTATTTCTCGGGATTCCTTAAACTTCATATCAGCAATGATTTTGTAGAAATTTTCAATAAAATTTAATAATTTTTAATAAACCTATCCTTCTATAACTAGATAACGTATAAAATAAGCTTTTTTATGGGTGAAAGGTCGAATATTAATCCCAATTAGTCTATTTTTACAAACTTCAAAGTCAATAAACATAAGTCTACCTCATTCCGTTATCAGTATTGTAAGAGTTACATTTATCACAAGGCCGCATCGTCACACCAAATATGAAATGTTTCCGCTACTCTCAATAGCCGACGTAATAGCCAACGATTTATGAATGAAAAATTGTTGACGTTCCGTCTGTGACGATATAAAATTGTGTCATGGAAACTCGATTCACCAATTCCCCTACACTAGTGAACTAGCTCAGACCTCAAATAATAAATATATATGTAATTTTTTAAATTAATTTTAAATATATTCTCATTATAGAAGTCAAGGTTAACATCTATTAATAAAATGATATAACCCTTAACCTTATATTCTGGTTAATTTCATATCTTTAAAAAAAATTAAATAATTATTTTGTAATATGAATACCTAGTATGAATTACTATCTGTGAATGTGTTTAATTTTAGGCATCTAGTTACTTCGTAACACGCTTCGGTTTCCAACCTCTGGCTGTTCGTGAACCTTCACCAGAAAGACAAGTACGGTCCCATGCGGTACAGCTAAATAAAGTAAGTAACATCTCTATGCCTATCCCTATGTAATATGTATATCCTTAACAAATACTCATGTATGTTAATGAGCTTCATTTAGGTATATGAAAGAATCTATGTTATAATTGAAAACTAAGTATTATTTGATTAAAACATCACAATGTTCGACATTCAATTGAAGTTACTCTCAAGATAATTAATTGTAATCAGAACAGTTTCATTATAAAGATACTATTTTGTTACACATTAAATAATTGAAATTTAAATTCCATTAATTGCAATTTGTATTTATTTTAAATTGTTCTCGCTAACATTTTTATTATTTCTTACTTGTAGATAATTGTAATATTCGAGTCACCGACTGTTAATGATAATGAGATATCCAAAGATTTAACAGCCCATGGCGATTTCGTTAAGGACGTATCATTTGAAGTATGCGACTTAGAATCTATATTCGAAAGCGCTAAAACAAAAGGAGCTCACGTAATTAAAGAAATTACTGAAGAAAGCGACGAAAATGGTCTTATAAGATACGCTGTATTGAAAACGGTAAAGATATATTGAATATTATGTTTATCCCAGTTGTCTAAGATTCAAATTTAATTACAAAAATATATTGTTATAAATAGAAATTGAAATTAAACTTGAATGAAGTTTATTCATCTTATCTATTACAGTATGGCGACAATACACATACACTGGTTGACAGATCCAAATATAATGGACCATTATTTCCTGGGTACAAGAAATGTGAAGAGGATTTAGCCAATAAGTTACTGTAAGATTATCTCATATATGTACCACTTACTAGCAAAATTGGGCTCTACTTGTTTATTCAAACTTATAATAAACGAGGTTTTTTTAATTAAAGGCCAGACACAAATTTAAGTTTCGTGGATCACGTGGAAGGAAATATGGCGGATGGAACTCTAGAAGATTCTGTCTCTTGGTATGAGAAGAACCTCAACATGCTCAGGTAAATTACAAAATTGCCAGATACTTAAAATAATTAAATTTGCTAATACCTAAGTTATTTATACACTAATTATTTTCACTCAGTACTTTTTACGAATAAAATAATACATATCCTTCGAGGTAGAGTTTTAGTCTTGATTCTTAATGTTCAGCGTTACTTCCAATAATGTCTTACAAAATGGCAGAAGTCAGTATTTACAGTTCTCAAATACAAGTTGAAACTTAAATATTGCCAATATAAAATTACAATGGTTCAGTTTTATAATTATTTATAATCAATCATAAAAATTAATATAAGCATTATAGTATATTACAATTAATACAATTAGTAAGTCAATTCTACCGATATTTGAATGTAACAAAATGTTCTAGATTTTGGTGTGTCGACTACAGCCATGATTTGACGCCATATTCATGTATCAACTCAGCCTCTGTTATTAACGAAAACGAAACCGTTCTTGTGAGTAATTATATAAACAAACATAATTCATATGCTTAACAAAATGAATTAATGAATGAATATTGAATCTTTATTAGTACTTATGGGAACATAATGTGTATTAACGCAAAGACAAACAGATATACCTTATGAACAAATATTATAAATGATTTTTATAATATGATTATTAAGTTTTATATAATTATAACAGTTATCAATGAACGAGTCGGCCCCGGGTAAGCGTCCTACTAGCAAGGCTCGCGACTTCGTTACATCACATGGCACGTCCGGAGTCGAGCACGTCGCATTATATACTGACGATATTGTACAAACTGTAGGTAGAATGAAAAATGTTGTTGTATAACAAAATCCATTAACATCATTCTATTGAGTAATGTAGTCTCTACTCTAAGCTTGACTATAAAGTAGAACGATGGAAGAACAAATTTTGTAACAGAATATTCGTGTATTTTAAATTACATACTTATAGTATCCCAGTTACACAAACTGTTATATATATTTTCTTATATGTTAAAATTACTTATGTTAATTCTATCAGACATTTTTATTAAAATAAATCCAATAAAATATCTTACAGATGAAGAGTTTAAAATCACGTGGCGCCGATATTGTGACCTGGCCATCGACGTATTACGAACTTATTAAGGAGAAACTTAAAGATAGCTCTGTAAAAGTCACCGAAAGTATTGAAGAACTGAAGGAAAATAACATACTGATAGACTTCGACGAAAAAGGTTACATGCTGCAAGCTTTCACAAAACATCTACAAGTTCGACCAACATTATTTATAGAGATCATACAGAGGAGAAATCATAAGGTAGGTTTGATACTTCGACCTTCTACGTTTGATATTAATCCGTTAATATGATCTTCTTCGACCTGGCAATTGCCCAGATTTAGCCAGGGTCTGCCTTACATGTTGTGAATAGTTTTGGCTAATTGTTTTTATGACCGGTCGCCTGCCTGACATCAACCATCTTTGAGAATGCATTAATCAGTGATGTCTAAATACTCTTAGAAAGTACATATGACTCGGAAAAATCACATTGGTACGTGCCAGGATCGAACCCGCGCCCTCATGCATGAGAAGCGGGCCTTTAAACCACTAGGCCACCACTGACTTAATACGTTAATATGATGTTGTGCATAATCTTTTTTATTTCAGGGTTTCGGAGCTATGAACTATCAATGGGTTTTCGAAGCAATCGAACGTTTAGAAAATAAATCTGAGGAGTAAGATGAAAACACGCTCCAAAATTTGTTATGTTGCCTCCATCTTTAATAATGGTGGTTGTGATTTATTTTTGATAATGTTTAACATATAATTTTAATGGGACAACTGTATATATTCAGTCTTTAGAAGTTAATTGGTTATATTACTTTAATGTTTCGATTGAGAAACTGATTATAAGGTATATTTAAACCGGTGGTAGTTTCGACTCTGTATTTCCATAGATTACAATTTTACAGTTTTACTTTAAATCATATTCTTTCTTCATCTTCATTCTTAATCATAGATTTTCTTTAAATCGACATATAAAAAACAGTATACTAAAAAAAATGACCTTCTATATACTTCTATCTAGCCAATGTATCTAAACATTAAAAAGGAAATGGTTTTATATTCTTAGTAACAGTCAAAAAAGATTTGCTGAATTGAAATGCAAACCAAGATATAATATTTTTCATTGTTTTCTTCCATTCCACTAAAAAAATTTTGATTAAAAATCTTATGAACTTATTCGAACCAAATAACAGTTCCAATTTTGTTCTCTGCATAGGTAACAATACAATGTATATTAAACATCACTTAATATTTATTGCACATATCTCTACTAACCTAAGGTAAGCTGCTTAATGAAATGCACTAACAGTGTCACTCATAACGATATTACACCCTAACGAAGAATGAAACAAGAATTATATTATATGAAACAGTTTAAAATAAATATAAATAAAGTTTTATGTATGTGTTTTAAAGGTTGTTTTAATGTCAAACTCACAGATTTCCTAGCCTTCAACCCAAACCAACCAAAGGCACCCCAAATTAACACTATAAATAGATTTTTGCAAATCATTGCGCAATATATTACAACCTTATATACATATAATAATAATTCTGTATAGTTATAAAACTTGTTATCGTACAAATTATTTGACGTGGGGTAGAGACGTTTTGTATTGTCTTATTATAAATTTTCTTTGACGCAGGAAATGTAAGTTAACTTCAAATATGAATAATATTGTTTGAGTGTTTTAGACACTATTGTATCAATTTTTCTTGAGTATCGTTTACTCAGATGAATTCTGGAAGAAGTATATAATATAAAATATAAGTAACCTTGTGACGGCATCTTTATTTTACAACTAAGTACATATATAAAAGTCATTTCCTTACTTCCATTTTTTAGCCGTTATTATTGTGTAAATATTTTATTAACAGTTAATATATATTTTTAACAAAATAACATTATATATATGTATGTATTTACGATATCCAGTTTTTAAGTATTACTCAAGTATATACATAAGTGATTAAAAGTAAAAAACTGCATATCTAATACATTTAGATAATGATTATACTACTTAAAGTGCGTTAAACTTTAAAAAAAAACTATCTGTCAGCATTGTTGTGGAATACATCGTTTGTTAAAAACACTAGTAAATAAAACAAATCTCTACAGAGTCGCTTCCCCGTTTTTGTGCTAAACGTGTTTGACTCCATTCCGAATTAGCATAATGTTTGTCACAACTACGCTACAGAAATATGAATTCTTAAGATATATTTAGTTAGATTATAATTAATAATAAGATATGAAATTAAACCAATATCTTTAAAATTTCTCGTTTTTGTATGTTTGTTTCCTAAATTCTGAAAAAAAGAATTAAATTTACAGAGAAGCATTAATAATAGCATCGAAAGATCGAATTCAAACTGAGCTTCTGGAAATCTCGAGTAAAAATTGATAAATATATTCATAATTCCGTGAACAGACGAAGCTTTACGTTTAATGTTGTTTCAAAAATTTAATATTTAACATAGAAACATACTATAATACTATTTTATTTTATATTAATATAACATTTTTAGGTGCCTTTGAATCTGTTATTTATTCTGATACGTAAAAAGACAACTCGTTTATATTTATTAACTTAATAAAAAATATATAGCTTTTAAATTCACAGTGTAGACATAGCCTTAGTTGGACTTGTTTTTAATGAAATCAATAAAATTAAACACTATATATACCTGATCTGTAATAAGGATATAAACTTTACACAAACCACTACGGTTTAGTTCTTATTTTGCTCTTACGGTGACAACTACCAAATCTACTGTCTGCTAGATAAATTTCTTTTGGATTTTGCGTCTATTTAATAGAAACCGTGTTTGTTAAATAGAAGAAAATATGGTGAGTTTTGACAAAGAAAATTTTATTTAATTCTGAAAGATCAAAAGAAAGTATTTTTATTTAAACGATATAAAATATATTTTTACATTTATTTACAATTGCATTGAATTTGCTGCATGAACAGTTTGAGTAACTTATTCCTATTTTCTCTATCTTTCAAGACGTCCTACACAGATAAGGGAAAAAAACCTGAAGGTGGTCGTTTCCTAGCATTCGATCATGTAACATTCTGGGTCTCAAACGCTAAACAGGTCAGTAGTTTAAAGCCTCTAAAATTATTTATAAATTAATCAGCCCTCGTTGAAAATATGGATACACTGAAAAATATCCTTTTTACAATGACTTTGCTTACTTAATATAAAAAGTTTTGTATCACTGTCATAGAAAAATATGTTGATTTTTCATTTTAGTAATTATATAAATATTTCAGGCTGCTAGTTATTACATCACACGGTTCGGGTTTGAACCGCTAGCTTATAAAGGTTTAGAAACAGGATCCAGGCAGTATTCCTCTCACGCTGTCAGATTAAATAAAGTAAGCATTCAAAATATATAGTATATTATTATCTACAATTAAACATTTATCTAAATCATCATAATCATTTTATTACTATGTGTAAATAAATTAATAAAAAATGATTGTTTTGGTCGATGTACTTATATTATATTTTTTTGGAAATTAAATGCTTTTTATCAGAACAAAATTTAAAAAGTGGATGGTTATCAAAATTTATATTAAAAGAATTTTATATGTTTTATAATTTAACTTATATATTGTAAAAGCCTACGCACCAATTAATTGCTTTTTTTTTGACAGATTATTTTCGTATTCGAGGGTCAATATAACCCAGAAGAAACAGATTTCGTCAATGAAGTAGGCTATCACGGCGACTTTGTAAAGGATGTCGCCTTTGAAGTTGAAAACTTGGAGTACATTCTAAATTACGCTAAAAAACAGGGAGCGGTTGTCATCAGGGATGTTTGGGAAGAAAAAGACGAGTTTGGAGTCGTTAAGATGGCTAGACTCAAAACGGTAATACTTTATACTCTTCTGTGCTGATAAATTTCCGTGTTACTGTAATTATATAACGCTAATCTTTTTACAGTACGGCGACAACACGCATACATTAGTAGATAGATCACAATATAAGGGAGCCTTCCTACCTGGATATCAGATGTTACAGAAGGATCCCATTCATCAATTCTTGTAAGATTTTTTATGTTATTAATATGTGATCCCGCAATTTATTTAGAAGGCATGTCTTTTCATTTTTGTCATAATTCAAAGAAATCAAAAGACGATTGTTGCTTGATATTGAGTCAACAAATTATTATTTGTTTTAGACCGAAAGTGGAGATTAACTTCATAGACCACGTTGTGGGAAATCAACCAGATAATTGTCTCGAGGAAGCAGCGTCGTGGTATGAGCGCTGTCTACAGTTCCATCGGTAAGAAAGCATTCTATCGTTTGCCTTTGTATATCATCAATAACTTTTGAGGCACTTTCGATATCATAATTATAATTTGTTGTTATTTTTTAATTGATTGTCAAGTCGCTACTAAAAAGTATCCTTAAGTCCCATTACTCCTTGATGAAACAGTCTTTTGAAATAATTATATTTCAATAAACAGTATCGAAAAACTAGCAAATTCTTTATGTGTATCTGTGTGCAATATAATTTAAATAAATTATTTTTTTATTATCATTTAGATTCTGGTCGGTGGATGACAAGCAAATTTGCACGGAGTACTCGTCACTTCGTTCCGTAGTGATGGCGAATTATGAGGAGACGGTCAAAATGCCGATCAATGAACCCGCACTTGGCAAACGGAAGAGTCAGATCCAGGAATATGTCGAATACCACGGGGGTGCAGGAGTTCAACACATCGCCTTGAACACAGAAGACATCATAACTGCTGTATGTAATAATTATAATAAGAATTACAATTTGATTACACGTCTTCTGAAGCTATTTTTATCACTGAACGTATTTGCTCACGTGATACGTCTATTAAGACTCTTAAGACAGTTCAAAAATATTTTTAACAATATCATTTTCCACTCCCTAACAAACAGATTGAACATCTCCGTGCTCGAGGTGTTGAGTTCTTGACTATTCCACCAAAGTACTACAAACTGATCAGAGAAAAACTAGCACACAGCAAGGTGAAGGTGGCTGAGAGTATAGATATATTGGAGCGTCTCAATATCCTTATAGATTACGACGATGACGGATATTTACTACAGATATTTACAAAGAACACTCAGGATCGCCCTACACTCTTCTTGGAGGTTATACAGAGAAGAAATCACAATGTAAGTACCAATCCAAACATCAAAAAAGAATTCAAACATATATTGGACGATGTAATAAACGTTTCAGATTTATATTTTTATCTAAAGCTCAATATTTTTATGAATTTTAACTAAAATAAGTGTTAGGAACCGTTTAGTTATCTTCAATCAAAATGGTTTAAAATAATTACTGTCTTTTTAAGTAGTCATTTAATATAATATATAAATCCTTTCTTTTACTAATAACAAAAAGGGGTGCTAAGGATAGTGAAATAAAAAAATAATTAAAAAATATTCTATTCGAAGTTACCTAATTTGGTATTTGTACTGGCGTTTATTCTGTTTGGAAATGAAACTATGGATTTACACACTGATTCAAAGGGATACTTCGTCGCTGCTTGCTACAAAGACTTTCAAAGAGATTCTTAGTCACTGTGACATTTTGAACAAGCCATGTTCTTTACTTATGATCAAAATTTGAAGTCTAAAATCTTGAGTCTTCAACTAAGTCCGAAACGTTCGTCTCAAGCTTGTCGATGTTTTGTCTTATCATCAGGTGAAAGAGACCTATTGAAAAGTTCACGGTACATACAAGCACCGACATAGAGGTCTTGTTTTATGACACCCAACAGAGTCTGGCCACGATCTTTTCTGGTCTACAACAAACGAAGTATTGTTGTCTCTGTTCATAATATGAAGTATTTGCAGTGTCTTGAATATGAGTTACAGTTCCATTCCGACTTAGTGCAAGATAATCACTGCAAATCAATTTTCTTTAACACCTCGTTTCATACTGTAATTTGATAATAAATTATATATAGTATGTAATTGTTTCAACCATTCGTTTTTAATAAGTAAGTAGGTATATTACGTGTTAAAAAATTTAAAAATCTTAAATATTTATAGTCAGACTAGTTTTATTATTAGCATTTTCGTTACACGTATGCAAATAACATTAAAATAATTACCAAAATTAGGTATTTTTAGACTTAAACATTGAAAGACTTACAAAAATATTGTAACCTTTCCAGGGATTCGGCGCCGGCAACTTTAAAACATTATTCGAATCTATCGAAATAGAGCAAGAAAAGAGAGGAAACTTATAAATTATAAGGAATCATAGTTTCTCCAATGAATTTGAATGAAGATTTATTTTTTGAAAACCAGCAGCAATCATCGCATCACAAATAAGAGTGCAGAATGATTTCATAGACGTCTCATTGATTTCACAATTTTTATATTAAGTAATTCACTAAAGGTAGTATTTAATTTCTAAAATGTTTTTCATTGTTTGTAGAATAAACGGTACGTCACTTATGAATGTATGAAATTTATGTTTATCTTTTTATAAAATGGAACGGACAATAATTATGTTGTAAGAAATTTAGTAAAAATATATATAACTCAAGAAAATCGATCTTTTAATTATTTAAATACTTATACCTAATCAACATATTATTTCAGAAATTATCTTATAACTATATTAATTATCTTATAATGAAAATTATCTATGATTTAAGATTTGTAAAGCTTGATAATATTATATTTCCTATAATGGTTTCTAGTTTTCTTACTGATAAAGTTTTCACTGGAGAATATCTTCCATAAGATTTTTTACAAAAGACGAACAAATGTCATATTGCTCATACTATTAAACCAACGTTATATTTATGAATGAAAAACAGAAATCTCTTTGTATAGTAAAATGAAAACTCGCAATAAGCATAATGGATTCTAATACACAGTGGTTAAATAATATAATAAAGGTTTTTTTACTTCACTAGTTAAAGTAAAAAAAAAATATTTTTACCATCAGTAGATATACTAGTTCTATTATGTTTTGCGATATTAACTGAGATGTTAATTAATTTGGAATCTTATATCAAGTTATAAATTTATTCAGATGAAAATAGATTTAATTATCCGTATATAGTAGGGTATTTTTTCATATTTCGGAAGAAAGTTTTATATATATTTTTACATGTGCAAACATTTGCGCTAGGTACAAAATATTTTGGAAGCTAGCGACTAAAAAGATTTTTAATATTTGATAAAACAAAATATCTAAAAGCAGTCAATCCCATCAGCAGTATCAGGGACTACATACTTCAAAAGAAACGTTTTTATTTATGTTCTAAGTAAATCTAATGAAATCTACTGTAGTTCACTTGCTGAACAGTAATATAATGGTTGGAAAAGAACACTCATGAGGAAAAATAGTAAGTATAAAAAAATTTAAAAAGGATTGAAATCGCATTAAATATTTTGATAACAATTGAGAATTTAGAAGCTTTACATACAATATGTCAAACTAATTAATTTTTAGACTCGGAATCAGGTTTCGCCATAACAAACTTTAACTAAATTTAGAAATCAATGCGCAATATATATCGTTTAAATTAATATATTGTATGTATATATAGATACGAATATCTTGTTATGAAACTTGTTTTTGTACAAATTATTTGAAGTGGGGTGGAGAGGTTCTGTATCACTTTATATTATTTTTTAATTCGGCAAATACATACATTTATGTATATTAATACATTAATAAAGTAAGCGTTTATTACTTTACTACCTAGTAGTAATCATTAGCTGACGCGACGGCACATTAAACAAGAATATAATATTACGAAATGCAAGATCATAAAATAAAACTGTAAGTAAACATTTTTCTATCCTTTCAGGTAAGTAATTCAGGTAATAAATATATAATATTTATTTAAAAAATATATATTTTTGGAAATAAACGATCTATTATCCCAATTATACTATATGTACCTATATTATGTAATTCTTTCAAAATACATACTAGAATCGCTTCCCCCTTTTTGTGCTAAACGTGTTTTTCTTCATTTCAAGTTTTTCGAAAAGGTTTGACATAATTATGGCCAGTATAATTAAGATATATTTAGTGATTTAAAAAAATAATAAAACAAATTGTGTACAAAACGAATCTTTGCAGATTTAAAATAAGTTTAGCCTTCTTGTCCAGTTCTAAATATAAATTTATTTGATGTTAATTTAACAGTTAATAAGAATAAGCTACGAAATCTTCAAATATAGTATTTAAAAATTATTAATTATATATCTATTATAATTAAAACCTGTGAAACGGTTTTAGTCTCTTCTCCCTTTTATTTATTAAGTAATGTTATCGTAATAATCAACTAAAAAGTTTATTTTTAAATTTACAGGCCGATACATTTGGCCGTCGCCTTACTTTCTTTAAAAAAATTATAACACATATACTTGGTCTGTAATCAATATAAAAACATTAGGAAAATGACACATTTTAGACCGCTAGTTATTATATCACACGGTTCGGGTTTGAACCGCTCGCTTATAAAGGTTTAGAAACAGGATCCAGGCAGTATTCCTCTCACTCTGTCAGATTAAATAAAGTAAGCATTCAAAATATAACACATAATGTAAAATATAAAATTAAGTTCTAAAATCGTATACCAAGTTACAAAATATAAAATCATCAGTTGAAAAATGGTGTAATTAAATCTAATGACATTATTTAACACGCGATCAATGATTTTTTTTTATCAAAATAGTCTTATAAATAAATCGTTGATTATATATTCAATTACTTCTAAAATCCATACACCTATTATAAAGGTTTCTTTTATATTATTCACATTTTCCTTCGTAAGGTATGTCGACATTAGCCTATCAGAGTCCACTGCTGAACAAAGCCCTCTTTTAACATGGAGAAGGTTTGAGCATTAATCACCTTGCTTGCTCAAGACGGGTTGGTGATTACAAACTTATAATTGTGAAATTATAAGTCCGGATTTCCTCACGATATTTTTTTCACCGTCTGTCAGTGTTGTCTTAATACTCTTAGAAAGTACATATAACTTGGAAAAATCACATTGGTAGTTGCCAGGTTACGATCCCGCGCACTCATGCACAAGAAGCGCGCCTTTTAGCCTCTAGGCCACCACTAAGATATGAATTTTTAAAGGAGAGACAAAGTATGTTACATTCAAAACTTTAACGTGACTATTATTGACAGATTATTTTCGTATTCGAGGGTCAATATAACCCAGAAGAAACAGATTTCATCAACGGAGTAGGGTAATACGATAACATCCTTGAAGAACGAACACTTCATAACGACGATAACGTGTCTCGAAAGACGTTTAATATGCGAGCAAAACCTCAGATAATAGCTACCACCATCTATAATTCCAATTTCATCCAACCGTGATGAACAATATAATAAATACTCATAATAAATCATCTTATACCTATACCTGTCAATATTTACTAAATAAAACTTTTTCAGGAATTAGGAGCAGGCAATTTCATAAACTTACTTATAAATAATAAATAAAACTACTGAATATTATATATTTTATTTGATTATCATACATCGTCATGTAGACAAGATCTTGTAACGAGAGCTTATTTACAATACCATTTGCTAGTTCAAAAAGTATTATTAACATTGCTAATGTATTAATTGACAAGCTGAAATGCCGAAATGAATATTATGCATATGTATTAAAGTCTATTTTCGATCGAACCAGAGGCCTACAAATAAAAGGCCAAAAATAATAATAAAAAATATAAAATTTTCATTTCAACCAAAAGCACCAATCATCGAATCTAAAAAATGTGCAAAATGATTTAATAAATACTTATTCAAATTTGTTATATTTAAATAACGTCACTAAAATTTTATACTTTAATTAATTTTTATGATAATTATTTTCGTTTGTAATGTACACGTTCAATATTTTGATAATTACGATCCGTTAAAATTTTGGTTTACATCAATAAAATGGGACAGACGATAATAAAATACATACTTCATAGTCGAACTTATAAACATATAGGCGAAATAAAATTGGTCCACAGTACAGATATTTTTTTACAAATTAAATGCATTTTATTTGAAAAAGGAACATATTAATTGATATAAAAGGTTACAGACGATTTCATTTTTATTAAAAAAATCTTTATACAAATAAAATCATAAATATAGGAAACATATAAACGTGAATCAAAATACATACATATATGTAGTAATGATAGAACATTATCAGCTGTCCCATAATATAAAACAAGTATCATAGTGTACACTGTCATTCACACACACATGTACATAAAATTGTGTGCATTTCACTAATAACGACGATGACGACAAAAAACTCATACTTAATAGTCACACACATACATGTGTGTGTAAGTGTGAGTGCACTAACACACATTTTAATATATTTCAAGTGTCGCTAGTGTGCGTGCGCCTGCGCATCGCTTGTGTTATGTTAGTACGAGTGTGTGTTTATTAGTGTGTGTGTGTGTGTGTGTGTGTGTTAGTGCGTGTGTGCATTTTCCTCTACATCCGCTGTATCTATCATCTCAAAGTCTCTGTCGGTCGATGACCTCTGGCTGTTTTCTGATTCTGATTCTGACAATTTATCTGTCTGTTCCGAAGTTTCAGGCTGCGGTGGTTCCTCTCTGTAAAACATATTTAGTAATTAAACAGTTGAATACATTGTTCTTACACTAGTTCATTTGCTAGATGGCTTATTTTGTTATTCATGTAACATAATACTTTTCTATATATGAAAATATAGATTTACAGACACATATACTAATTAACATACTAACTTAACAATACACATTTTAATCATATAAATCAAGGGTATCCAATTTGATGAGACCTAGGGCCAAAAAAAACTGGATACATTGGAGGGCCACAAAATATTTATACAAACACTGGTACTAATAATATCGTTATTATTACCAATATTTGCTCATTAATGTATTAAAATAAAGATTCTACGGGCCGCAATAATCCAAAACGCGGGCCGCACACGGCCAGCGGGTCACGGGTTGGACAGCCCTGATATAGATGATAAAAATATTTATGTATTTTTGAACTATTTATTAACTTTTCATTAACTACATACTTGTTATCCGTAGTGTCAGTTGTCTCAGTGACTACTTTCTTTTCTTTAACATCTTTCACCTCCGTCTCCTTCATCAAAGCTGTTTTTTCCTCCTCATCGTCTGAATGTTTTTCTTTCTTGCGTTTCTTCTTGCTTTTAGATGATTTATCGCTCTCCGAACCAGGGCCGCGATACTCGTACTAGAAATATATATTTTATACATATTATTATAAATGTTTTTTACTTATAAATATGTTTTACTTTATATCATATGATATTAATAAATAATCATAATATACATATAGACCAGCAGTAGCGGCTGGTGGTTTATCGAACTGGTGGTGCACTTTACAAAATCATCGACATATACTAATGGACATGCCGTACGCGTATAATCTGCAGTAATTTTTTGGTTTGAAAAGAGTGAGAGAGATGGCCTATGCTTTTTGTCTAGCACTATCTCTTTCCTCATAGATGATTCTTGTAAATTCGAGTAATGAATTAAATTTGAGAGAGATAAAGATATACCGAAACTTCGTTTCCTCTCTTTCTTTCGGAATGCCACAATTCTCATCTCTAAGGCATGTCCATTAGTATAAGTCAAATATGTTTATTTCTTATGTATTAAATCAATGCGACGACATTTTTCTGAAGCGTAATGTTCAATCACCTTTTTATTAAAATCGGGTAATATTTGTATAATTATTATTTTTTTCAATACTAAGCACAAAAAGTGCATTTAGCAAGTGCATGGTACATATTTCGGAGAAAAGTTTTGATTCTTTTCAATTCCAATTCGTCATACATCGGGTGCTCTCGGTTCGCTCGTACGGCGCTCGAGAACCGACTCATTACTCGCTACATTTCTATGAACTATCTTTTGTTTCACGCGTCAAGCGTATTAATGCTTATCTCATACAAGATGTATTAGCAGTCCTCGTGCACGCCGAAGCGCACGATATTAGTTTTGTACTAAAGCGCTCAAACTTTTTGACCATACTTGGAAACTCAATTTTTTATACGTTTTTGTATGTTTAAAAAATAAATATGTATTAAAATGATAATTTAAAAATAAAGATAAAGTAATATTTTGTAATTTTTAAATATTTTGAATTGGTGATTCAACGCACGAGTGCACTTAAGGTACAGCCGCCACTGTAGATTATAGACTAATGATTTAACTATAATCTGTGGTATAACAAAAAGTATTTATGAATTTATCAATTTACTATTAATTTAATGGTCAATAATAATAAATAGTGGCTATATTACCTTATACAGCGGCCAGAATGAGGCAAAGAATCCAACATCTTCAGTCAGGTTTGGTAATAACCATAGATGATGTCTCGCGAGCGTGGCGACCCATACAGTACAAAACACCACCACTCTGAGTACAGCCAACGCTATGATCAGTACGAGGAAACCGGCTGCAGCTATACTCAAGTAATACACACCCTTCCTAGAAAATAGGAAATTTAATAGTAATTATTTTATTTGATTTCAAGTAGTTTATTGTATAGACTAAACTAGAGGTTGAGGTATATGTAATAGTAATACTTAGTATATTCAAGTAAAAAGGAATTTATAAACTAGTGTTGGCAAACATTCCTGTAAATGTTTTTAAATAATTTTTTTTATAAGTCTTATTTCCATAATCATTATAATTACAATTCTATTACAGAAAATATCCACAACAATATTGCAACAATAAATATTATGAGTACCGCTTAATGAGATTCAATCACTTAATGAGATTTGTCGTTCGCGAGTATTTATTTAAATTAAACTAATATTGTTCGGATTATTACGCGTATTTTATTATACTACCCTCGACGTTTCGGTTACTTTCCAGCAACCGTGATCACGGGCAGACTAGATGTGAAAAATAATAAAATACCCGTAGTAATCCGAATAATATTAGTTTCATCAGTTAAATAATTTTCTCACCGAACAGTTGCCGGCCACAATGGGAACATGCAGACTCCTACAGTGCCCACCAGTAGTAGGGCCCCACATAGCCAGTAGTACCAGGGCATGGGGTCATACAACCACACGTACGCGTCGTTAGTATCTAAGAATACTTGCTCCATGTGCATCTCCAGACGAATCTTGCGCTTCTTCTTTTCTTTGTTATCTTTGCCATCTTTGTCTTTGGTTTCCTGGAAATTGGTTTAATAAACTTTTAATATAAAGTATTATGGTATATTGGATTTGATTTTGGGGAAATCCCTACTAATATTATAAATGCGAAAGTAACTCTGTCTGTCTGTCTGTCTGTCTGTCTGTCTGTTACTCTTTCACGCCTAAACCACTGAACTGATTTTAATGAAATTTGGTACTGAGATAGAGTTGACCTTGAGAAAGAACATAGGATAGTTTTTATCCCAGACTTTTGAAACGTTCTCTTGGAAACGCGATATAACCGAACTCCACGCGGGCGAAGCTGCGGGCGGAAAGCTAGTACTTTATATGTTATTCTTGGTAATATAGTATGTTTATGTTATATCGCGTATCCAAGAGAACCTTTCAAAAGCCTGGGATAAAAACTATTCTATGTTCTTTCTCAAGGTCAACTCTATCTCTATACCAAATTTCATTAAAATCAGTTCAGTGGTTTAGGCGTGAAAGAGTAACAGACAGACAGACAGACAGAGTTACTTTCGCATTTATAATATTAGTAGGGATTGTATGTAGTTTGATAGTACTAACAATCCCAAGTTGTAGACTAATATAACATTTAAACTGGAGAATTAGTATGGGTTTGTAGATATACTATAAGTAAATTTTTTTTAATTATAACATACTTTTCCTTCACAAGCACTCTGATTCTTCTCGTCTTGTTCATCCCCACTCTTACTCGTCTTTTCGACATCTTTTTTCCTTGATTTTCCTTTAAGCTCCTGCTCTGTCACTGGAACCTGAATTATGTAAGACCAAAAACATTTAACCATAAAGTAGCACTTCTAGAACTGCTATTAAAATTTATTAGTAATATTTTTAACCATTATAATTCTATCTTTGACTCAAATATGTAGAATTAATGTATAGGAACAGGGTTTCAACTTGTAACTGGAATTTGATAGTTATTTGGTAGCAAGTTCGATTCATGCTTGTTACTATGAATAAAACTCTATATTTTGTGTTTGAAATTTTGCTTAAGTTGGTTTAGTTAATTATTTCAAATAAATTTCAATGAGCTTCATTAAATATAATATTGTATTTGTTTTATGTTATTACATTATAAACTGACCTAATAGACAAATTGGGACTATGAAAGAAAATGTTGGCAATTTTTTGGGTGGCATTAACACGTAAGATAATTCCAACATATTTTTTATGTCCTAATGATAGAAATTGTATATTAGTGATCATATAGAATTTGAAATGTTAGTATTATATTTTTAATAGTATACCTTCTTAGCCCTGTGGAAGAGTTTGTGTAAGAGCATTAGATGAAGGAAGTCTGTGATGTCGTGTCTGGTAGTGAAAATGGGATTCTTGCCGGTTGCCCATTTTGATGTTAATAGCGCGTCCACGGCCCTCGTACCTGCAATAATATATAATTCATTGAAATCTATTTGTATTTCTTGCAAGAAATGTGAAATAATTGAATTTTTATGTAACAAAGGCAAATTTGGAACCACAAAGCATTTTCTATAGAAATCAAATAGGTCGCTGTAATTTTGATGGAATTATATTTCTTTCATGCAACATTTAAAATATACATTAGAAAACATTTTGAGATCTGTTTCACAAACGTTGTATATATTTTTCAAGTTAAAAATTGAACATTCAAATATTAATAAAAATAATAATAATACTTTATTATTTGTTCTGAAAAAAATAGATAACTATCAGTGTATTTACATACATCATATTGTTTAATCTATTCAGGACTAGTTTTTGCCCGCGACTTCGTCCGCGTTAGTTTCGTCATTAGTAATATATGTATAGCTGACCAGGCAAACTCTATTCCGTCTTAGAGGCCATAAATAATCAGGTTTTTCCTGTTTCAACCAAACATAATGATTGACATATTAGTTAGTTGTCAAATCTAATGTCAAAAAAAGCGTTTGTATGGGAAATAGAAAAGGGCTGGTTTTAGGGTTTTCCCGGCAATTATTCCAATTTTTCTCACCTTTTATACCTTCCCTGAAACTCCACAAACATTTCAAGACTAAGATAAGATAAATCCGTTCAGCCGTTCTCGAGTTTTAGCGAGACTAAGGAACAGCAATCCATTTTTATATACAGTGTAAACTCTATATAACGGCACTGAAGGGACCGTGCATTTTAGTGCGTTATAGAGAGTTGCCGTTAAATAGAGAGGAGAAAAATTAGAAAAAGATAAAGTTTATTTCAGACTAGTGTTAGTACTTATGTACATAAAAAAGAATGTTATAGTTTGAGATTTTATGAGCAACTTTTTATGTTAACGTATAGGTAATACAAGACTCCTACTTATGGTCAAAAACCGTCGACACGTGTAATCAATTTGTAATTGTAAACAAAAGAACGAATTTCTTAGAAAATTCGGTATGCATGATAGGGACAGTCGAGTTTATTGCGGGCTAGGATAACAAAGCGACACAGGAACGTACACAGCTGCACAGTTTTTACTAAATTTAGCAACTTAAAAGGTTTTTATTACTTATTGTTGTCGTTATTGAGAGTGGGTGTGCCGCTATGTAGAGTGTATCATTGTATGGTAGACAAGCTAAACCAACCAAAATCAAATGATTTCGACGTTTTAGAGAGTTTGTCGTTAAATCGAGTGTCGTTATATAGAGTTTACACTGTATATAGAAGAAGAAGATGAACAAGAGATAATTTTTGTGATTATGATTATTAAAATTATTTAATAAATAAATTAAATATAAGAATTGAAATGAACAACAATGAAACATGAGTTAATTACTGAGAAAAAATTAAAAAACAAAAAGTTTTAAACTGATCAGAAACCTTACTACAAGTGTGTACATATAGAGCATTTCCAGTTTTCATTCATAACTCGCACACGATAGTATTATTAGTTTAAGAATAAAAAAAACTTGTAAACTATCCGTATGCTGGTGAACTCTGACCATGTAAGCTTATATATACTCGTACAAAATTAAAACCAACGTTAGATGTTAGTCCAATGATGTAGGTTTTTTCTTGTACTAACAATGTTATACTTTAATCACTGAGATTAATGAGCTCTTCTACGAATTGATCGATTTTAATTAATTATACTTTTAAAACACTTATATGGTTCTATATATTAATTAATGAGTATTTGATTCCTCACATTAATTTAATTTATTATTCTAATATATATGGTTGTCAGTGTAGCTTCGCCAATCAATATTTATGAGACTATTTCGTTAGTCTTTTTTATTTATAAATACTTTTGTCAATATTTAAAAACAGATGTTTTATATCTAAAATGTTTATTTAAACAATATACACTATTTGTTGCATGAAACTAGCTTTTCTTTTGAAATAGTAAATCAGAATAGAATCGTGTTATAAAAGAATATAAATGGCAATCATAAAAAGTGTTCGTATGATTAGTTAACTTATACATAGAATATGTACAATTTAATCAAAATACTTATTAGTCCAGTCATTTAAGCGTAAATTAGGTAAGAATCTCGGAATTCGAGATACCCAGCTGTAAGTCTGTAAATAGTTGTATATTGACACCCTAAAAGTTGTCTCAAAACCTACATATGGTAGGGTGTAAGCAACTATTAAATTTCAATGTCAAAGGTCACAAAAATCGGTTTTTTGCGCTTTTTTTAGAAATATCTCATTTCCTATGGGTTTTTTGCTATTTGTGTTTATTATCAATATTGTAGAATACTAAATTCTCTACAAATTTTGTTTCAAAAATTTTTTTATACGGTTTACCGTTTTCGAGATAGAGGGCGGAGAGCGCGCGGTCACCGCATCACTTCAGGTCAACCGGTGCCTCTGGTCGAAAACGCGCCATATACCGGGTGACTGGTGAATTACTATCGATACTTGAGGACGTGATATTTGACGATCATATATGACAAAATAAAAATTAATATAACATAAATATTAATAAACTTCTAAGTAAAGTTAACCAAAAGTTATGTAATTAATTACGCATCGTGTGAACACCCTACAGATTAGGTATACACACACACACACACACACACACACACACGTGCATGCGGCGGCGTGGTGTTGTATCAGCACGCCGCCGCACGCGTCCACACTTGGAACACTTGGAACGTGTCCACACTATTTATTTATACGGAAATTTGGTCAAAAATTAAGTGCCTATTTTTTTACATAATTCGAATGAGAATCATGTACCGAGTATTCTCCTTAAATATTGATAGTAATTCACCAGTCACCCTATATAGTTGATGAACTATCAATAAATCAATGATTATAAATATTTGTCAATTTTTATTAACTATTATATTATATTTTATCATTTTCTTCGTGCATTAAATCTATATCTATTCAATAATACTGATAACCGTTTACTAAAATTAAAAAATAATTAAGAGAAAAACTTAACTTGAGACAAATGTCGTTGAAGACGATAATGAAGACCAGTTTGAAATTTACCAGCAGCCAGAAGACGACGATGAAGAGGAAGAAGATGTTTAAAATTATAAATTGTAGTTTTTGTACCCTTTATTCCATTTATTTACTTTCATTAAAAAAAAATTATTCAATGATATTTTTTAATAAAAAGATTAATTCATAATTTATTTGTTTTTTTTTTCATCATGTAAGAAGTTATTAATATTAATTAGGTTAAAATTAAAATATAATTCTTATATTTTCATTAACAATTCTGCAATTACATGGACAGGTAAGTGTTGTTAAATAAATTAATACTGAATAAAAAGTGGACAAGTTAGGAAAAAAATGATAAAATATAATATAATAGTTAATAAAAATTGACAAATATTTATAATCATTGATTTATTGATAGTTCATTAACTATATATGGCGCGTTTTCGACCGGAGGCACCGGTTGACCTGAAGTGATGCGGTGACCGCGCGCTCTCCGCCCTCTATCTCGAAAACGGTACACCGTATAAAAAAAATTTTGAAACAAAATTTGTAGAAAATTTAGTATTCTACAATATTGATAATAACCACAAATAGCAAAAAACCCATAGGAAATGAGATATTTCCAAAAAAAGCGCAAAAAACCGATTTTTGTGACCTTTGACATTGAAATTTAATAGTTGCTTACACCCTACCATATGTAGGTTTTGAGACAACTTTTAGGGTGTCAATATACAACTATTTACAGACTTACAGCTGGGTATCTCGAATTCCGAGGTGAACTTACTATAATGACTGGACTATATAGATATATAATATTACAAGGGGAACAGATTGTTAGGCCTCTATATAACTTGTAAGTAGTTTCCATTACTGTAATTTTCTTCAAAGTTTATTTAAATAAAGCAATCAGTGCGATAAATGTATATAGTAAATTGTTTATAGAGTGTTTTGTCACGCGTTAGCCTACGGTCATAACGTTGTGTTAATAAAACATCAACGTACAATGTTTATCATATGTTTTGTTTCGTTGATAACAAGAATTAGGTCGAAAGTGACGGGGATTTACAGAGAACGGAATTTACATTTTTTTTTAATGAAATCTTAAATTTTTTGCGAGTACACATTTAAATGAAACTAATATTTTCGGATTTACTACGCGATTATTTATTTTTGACTATAAAATACATACTCTCGACATTTCGGTTACTTTACAGTAATCGTGATCACGGGCAGACGAGAATTATAAGTCATCTGGTATAGCGGGATTGAGTTTTTAGTATTGTAATATAAATGGTTTAAACTTTTTATAGTTTAAACTAGAATATGCTGGATTTTCATTGAAGCAATTAGTAGGAAATTAAATATGAAATAGTAAGCAAACTGTTTCAATCAATCCTAATTTCATTCGAAGACACACAAATTAGTATTCGCAGACATTTTGTTGTGATATTTGAAAATTAAATTATAATATACAGAACCTTATAGAAATATTACATTTATAAATGTTGTATAAATTAAATTTTACAATTGATAACTAAGTTGCTAGACTATATTGAACAGATTCATATTTATATCGTAGAAAGTTATCACGGGAGATATTATGCATTTAAACGTCATACAGAAACATGTACATATTTTAGGAAGCACTTACTTATCTACTACAAGATTTGAAAATATGTACATATATATTTTTTTGCTTCTGATAGTTAAGGTTATTTATTTTCGACAATGACCTTTGATTAATTTTTTTTATTATACGAAGCTATAAAATTTTTATCTATGCTGGCAATTTTTTTTTCTTATAATATGAATTCATTACGTAAATGACTAATGTCAATATATGTAAGTATTTATAACAAAATGAGTATGTGTTGCAATGTACGATAATGATTGCAATGATTATAACTCGACAAACACATAGAAGGGCTCGTTTATATATATAAATATCTATATAGATACCTAGTTTAATATTAACAGAATTTCAAAAATACTTTAAAAGTAAAAGATATAATAAAAGAGATCCAAATATAATACATATTAAGCTAAGTTAAAGTTTTATTTAAGAACTTACATATAATTGCAACATTTTTCAAATTTACTGCTATAGTTCCGTAAATTTCAAAGCGAATTCACATACTAAATTAGTATATGGTAGAAAACGGTGTCTTATTACTGTGGATATTACGAGCTCTTACAATAAAACAAATTTTATAGTAATCAGTTCTACTAAGAGTTAAACTGTTACAAGTGTGACAGGAAATTAAACGAAGACAATGAAATGATAATTTGCTCAAATAAATTACGGGGAATCCTCTTTTTTATAAGAAAATCAGAAATCTTATCTGGTTTCTTATGTCTTTCGAGCTCAACGTAATCTTTAATTTATCCTAAACGTGCAGTGCAAAAACAAAAACTAGGAGAAATTTTCTCTAATTATTATTTCATTTAATTATGTAGTTTCTTCTCCCAAATTAAAAGTTTACAGTATAAATGTAAAACGTAGGTATTGTATAAAATAAGTGAAGAGCGATTCTGAATCAACTCTGTTTAGAAATGAAACAGCATACAAAGATTTAAGTGATTTTTTCAATATTGTAGAATATCAATTTAACTTCACAAGTATAAAATATTCAAGATAAAAAAAAAAAATACAGTGTTTTCATTGATCTCAAAACCTTAAACATCTTTAAAATAGGGTCGAATAAGTATCTAAGATATCAGTTACTGTATTCTTTAGGAAAGATTAAATTATGTCAATAAGTTACCTGTGAAATGTGAATTAGTAGGTAATGTGAATAAGTTACCTGTGAAGTATTCTACGTGGTGATTGAGGAATTTCGTCTTCTTCGTGGGTACGTTCGCCTTTAGCCATTTGGCGACAGCGTACTCCTCGCTCGTGGGCTTCTCAGATTCGGAAGGTTCACCGAACTCCTGGAATATACGACTTTATATCTTAGGACTGTTAAAATTGGATAGTTGATATATGTGAAACAAACTGTCGTTTTGTCATACAACCAGTTGGAAAAAAAACGTCTTGTATATATGTAAGACCTATATTTTATACTTTATATATTATGTATAAGTTATGTATGAATATAAAGTTAATGGACTCCCTATTAGAGATCCTAAGCTATTAATAACTCGTCACGTACTTTGGAAAATACATTGTCAATTTATAAGTATATTAATTTTCACTTACAAAAACAATATTAATTCAGCAATTTGTCAATTTCTTAATATACTCGCTGTAACTGATAAGGACCACTTGCTATTCAATTATTATACCGATAAAATTGCTACGTGATTTTTTTTATAGGCGAATTGAATTTGTCTATAGAAACGGTTAAAATATCAATATATTTTCATTACCTAAATAAAAAATTATAGTCTATTCGATATGGCTCTCATATAATATTTAATTATAATACATTATGGAGACTAAAAACTGAGTCCTAGTGTGTGTCTGGCATTATCACACTACATACGATGCGTTTTCCGTTACCGATACAATAACTTGTCAGTATTTTAATCTGCGAAGATTTATTAATAAAAAAAACTATTAATCCAAAGTTAAATATGTTAAAATTATCTCAAAACCTTTAAGTCATTATTTGCCTCAAATTTCCCCCTTCTTTATAGCTAATAATTTCTTTCATTCTCTTCCTTATAGATGTTCGAAATATATTCACAAACTCTGTATACCTTAAATATATAATTGTATGACAACACGACAGAACGGCTCACCATAGTTTAGATATTTTTAGTTAGTTTTATTAGTGATAAAGTATTTAAAATTAGGAAAAATAATTTAATATTTTGAGTGTAAAAATCATAAGCATGTTAAATAAATAATAAACGAAATAAAAGAAAGTGAAATAAACAAAAGTCCACTTTTATATTAATTAAATCTGTAATAAATAAAAAGGTTAGTATTGAGGTAAAACTACATAATTATGCGCTTAAGTTATGAATAACGCAACGTTAAAAGAAAATCTTGATAAACATTAAAAATATTTTTTATTTTGTTTTATTTAAAACAAACATTTATATTACATATTACCAATCTATTACTAGTAGTATTGAGAAAGAAAACGTATATAAATTCATATGTATTTATATCCATTGACAAGTAAGACAAACATAAAAAAATCATTCAATTAATAAAATGTGATTTTTAAATTTGTACCTAAATTTATACAAATATATAATTTTACTGTTATTTCAATACACTGATAATGTTTTCTATGGTAACATATTTCAAGGATAATTGCTTTCACCTTAAAGATCAATGGCTTACAGAATTTTCTAGAAATTGTATGATCTATTTCACTAAATGTTGAAGTTCGCATTGTAAATATGGGAATATAAAAGAACCTGGTTTTATGTTCAATTTACTTGAATGCCCTAGAACGTGTCGCAGTTCAAGTGTCAATGTCACGGTCAGGTGACGTCATGTGACGCACTTAGTTTTTAAGTCACGATTACATTAAAACAAAAAATATGCCGTTACACTGGAAACTAATTAATAGAGAGTTATAAAAAATACTCCATAAATTTTAAATTTGGATTTTGAATAAAATAAATTCAATAATTACATTCAAAACTAACAGGTAATAATGGAAAAATAAAATATTTCCTTTTCGCTTATTGTGTCCTGACATACATAAATAAAACATACGATATTAATTTTTAAATATTAAAACAAACACAGTAATATTATTTAAGTTATAACTCACGAATTCTCTCATTTTATAAGGCTACGTGCACACCGCTCAGTGATAGTTCTAGACTAACGCTACAAGCTGGTGAAAGTGGGGCATACTCTAAACTTATCAACTATTTGTAGGTCTATAGAACGACAGTTTACATATAACATTAGTAAGAAAACAAAACGGTTACTCTATTATATACTGTATATTATATATTAATGATTGCTTGAAATGTTTACTTTGGTCTTGTGATAAAAATAAAAAAGTAGTTTATAATAAATACATGTCTTTCTTTACACTACTGATATCGCAATTAAATTCCGTAAAGCGAACGAATTGCAAGCCAATAAGCGGTATAGAAATAAGTTATTGTATAACATAAAATATTTTTCATAATATTCCTTATATTTGTGATAATTTATTTTGTTTATCATATTAAATGACATTACAGGTAAATTACACTGGTCAACACTGTTTTTGTCACATGAACTTTGTTATGATTTTTATATATGTTGGGATACCCTTATTAAAAATATATAACAGTTTTGTTTCTATCACATCCAGTTTTCTTGTGACAAGTACATATTAAATTCTCATCTCACATACGTTTCTTGGTTTATATAAATGCATTTAGTTGGCTGTGTAACTAATGTATTTGCTAAAACATTTTTTTGACGTTATTTAGATCGTAAATATAGCACGAAAGTTTTAAAACAACCCAGAAAATTTTTGTTATGTGTGTAGAGAATTAACTTTTGCGTCTCAGCATCGAAATATCACATCACTAATTGAACAGTGCTATTTAGACTTTTTTTGGTTTTCTTTTGAGAAATCAAGATAAATCCTTGAAAATACATGTGCTGGACTCTCATCTGCATTTCTATCGGACATATTTAGTAGACTACTAATAGTAGTTGTGAGTGATAAACAAGGCGAGAGCTTCCATCAGGATATTTCCTAAATCAAGAAGCTTTTCCAAGGGAAATGGAGTCCAGGAATGCTAACAGACTACTGTTGGAGACTTAAAAGGGACCTAAAAAAACAAATCTTCTATATATATAAAAATGGATTGCTGTTCCTTAGTCTCGCTAAAACTCGACAACAGCTGAACGGATTTATCTTATCTTAGTCTTAAAATGTTCGTGGAGGTTCAGGGAAGGTATAAAAGCTGAAAAAAATTGATTCATTACTGGGAAAACTATAAAAACAGCCCTTTTCTATTTCCCATACAAACGTTTTTTTTTTTGACATTAGATTTGACAACTAACTAATATGTCAATCATTCTGTTCGATTGAAACAGGAAAAACCTGATTATTTATGGCCTCTAGATCGGAATAGAGTTCACCCGGTCAGCTATACAAATATTGCTAATGACGAAACTAACGCGGACGGAGTCGCGGGCAAAAACTAGTATTCAATAAAATCATAAGTATCTAGCAGATATTAGAAAATAATTCTGGAAATGTAGTTGATTTTTGTACTTTTTGAGAAAATATATGTTTTGATGTCTCAAGAAAACCTGATGTGTACTTTTCTTTTCATTGAAATATTATTGTTTGGTGGACCTAATATAATCAAAATTTGATATAAACTTTCATGTGACAAAAAAAAAATTACAAATTTGTTGACCAGTGTGATTAATGTACTTATATCTATAGCTTAGACACAACCTTGGTTTCTAAAAGCTTGTAGGTAGGTTCATTAAATATATACTAGCTTCTGCCTGAGATTTCGTCCACACTGACGGGAATAGAGTTCAGAGAGAAAGCAATAACGTGAGCTTAATAAAATAGAAAGCAATTGAAGTTACAAAATGAAATTCCAGGGAAAATTATCCAATTTACTTTAGCATTTATATATTAGAGCTCCTAGTACGCCCTAAATAAAAAATTGCAAACACAAGAAAAGCTTCAAAAAGCTTTTTTATAAATAAAATTTTTTACATAACTTCAATTATTGATGATTGTTAAACAAATATATATATTAATGTATTCAATGACTTGTTCTAGTTACATAGCTATTAAGCTTTGATAGATAAAATACTAATTGTAATAGGAGGCAATCGTTTGTGATTTAACACTAGACTCATAAACCTTACCTCTAGTTCTAGTTAAAGATAAATATCCCTAAGTTCATAAAACGAACATGAACAATTTATAATATGTATTTACAGAAAATATAAATTTTAATTCATTTTTCATATAATAATAAAAAATTCCCACCTCACTATTGTGTTTAAAAACCAATTTTAATGTAATATTCTTTAAAGTATTAAATGTTATTTGAGTGAAACTGTACAGGGCCTGCTTTGTTTGCACTATAAATATAGTAGCATTTCACTTTCATTGAAAGATACTCGCAATGGATTCTAATAATTTGAATCTAAGTTTAATAAAATTATATTGTATATTTCATATTCATGTATTTAGAAGGTGATATATAAAGAACATTCTTATAAAATACACTAATATTTAAAATACTTTTTATATCTCTGTGTATTATAAACAAACAGTATTGAGAAACCTACATTGCAATACTTGTTTATTGCCTAACATTTATCCAAGAACTGTAGTGAGTACTTGTTGACAATAGAATACTGGTCACAGTGTAGAATGTTAAGAGACTTGAATCGTATTCACCACACATGGGCCGGTACAGAATAATAAAGCCAAAATTAGTCTATTTGTGAATTTAAAAATTATTGACTGTAAAATCACATTTTACAAATATTTTAATGAAAGACATGTTAATAATAGTGCTTTCAATTGTTATTAATTTTAAATATGTTTAATTTTTAAGTTTAAGTAAAACACTGAACCCAAATAAATACCATGAGGAAAATCTTTATACATATACAATTTTGACAGAAATAAATATTGAACTAATTGTTAATAGTATAGATTTTATTATTTAATACCCATGTTAGTATACTTAACATAAAACAATAGTGACATTTAAAAACTACGTGATTTCAAAATAATTGCAAACCTTTTTCCTCTGTAAGCAAATAAAATAATTTTAGTGCATTGGCAAAGACCAAACAAAGAACAACAGTTTATTTATAAAATGCTGATTGAGATTGAATGGTTGGGCTTTGAACTGCGCAAAATGAATTTTATTTCAGCATATGCCATATGGGCTATTTGGACAAAAATGCCAGGCTGAATATATTTATGATTTATTTCGTATTTATGTTTATAAACCTACGTAAGACATAATAGATCCACGAGTCATTTTCACTTAAAGTCATTAATTGTCTTCATAGTAAAATATTTTATAGATTGTAATTGATAAAAAATATATAAATTTAATTGCGGAAAATCCAGGCGGTGTAATTAAACAGCCATCGGAGCTAAATTAAGATTAAATATGAAGCATAATATTATAAAGCAATTATGCTAGGTGTGTGTCAATGAAATATTTACATACCTCTTTTCGTTTTTTAGTTTTCCTTTTGTCTGCCATTATAACATAAATTTGTCAACGTAGCGGCTCTTAATGAAAATAAAATATTTCTACAATTTCTGTGACGCACTGAGTTTAAAATGTTGCCAGCACTATACCAAAGATTAATTATTAACCATACATTTACCAAACAATTAATTGATTTTACATCATGACATCATTTTATTAGAATAGTTTAATAAAAACAGTAGTTTACCATTACAAAATGTTGTAAATAAAAATATAAAAATCCTTTTAAAAGACTTGCCCCAGTTGTTTAAGAGGTGCAAATCTGAACGTACTATTTGATTTGTCAAATCGAAAATGACAAAACATCTTTCCAATCTTTAACATCATTTTCGCATTCAGCATTCATGACGCAGTTGTCACTCGAATCATGCGTCAATTATAATGATAGTATTATAGTGCTCAAGTTCTGCGTAAAGTCAGCAAGACTTCTTAATAGATACCTATTTAGTAATCAGCAGTCAAGGATCAATATCGTAAACTGATTTTTTTGCATACTAAAGTTATATAGTGATACATATGGTGCAGTGCAGTTAATCAATAATTTACGGGATCACATTGTTAAATAATAGCGATAAAGATTTCAAAGAGATAATATAATAAATTTTATAACTCATATACTGCTCCGATTCGCATGATGGCTGAAGAAGTGAATGGATACCATAAAGAAGGTAATTTGGCCTAATTAAAACAATGTAGACTGTAGTATTTGTAATGCTCTGTGAATTTATATTTTTGCAAATAAAAACTAATTAAGATTCTTTTGCTTGATATAATTCTAATTCTTTTATATGATTATCTCGTTTTCTAACTTTTGTATTGGTAGTGTTTATCATCAAATGTTACTATTCATTATTGTGTTGCTGATATTAATGCTTCTATATAATTATATCTATCATACATAATATATATTTTAGTTTTTTCGTTCCACTTCCGTTATTTGTGAAAAAATGTTTAAAAAAATATTTAAAAAAATGGTTAGATTTTGAAAAATAAATTTGTGAAATGAGTAAAATACTACTTGTATACATATCTCTTTTCCAGTAATTTTTTGTATTAAAAAATGTCTACCATCTAATGAGTGATAATATTCATGAATAAAAATTTAAATAATTATATTAAGTATGGAGTGAATGAACCTCATATAAACATTACTTTTTATCGTTATATGTTATAAATAGTTCAGGTGATTCATTATGTAATTTTAAATTAATTAATCATGAAAATTTATTATTGAAAACTCACAGTTATATTTTGTTAGTAATTATAAATTATTTATGAAGACAATAATTTATGATCTTTGCCATTCTGACACTTTTATACTAGTTTTAGACATGATAACACTTAATACAAGGTTTCTATAGATATATTTGAAGTTAGTTTGTAATAATACACTTAACTATCTTTTTATAAATGAATTATAGTATTATAGTTAATTATTCTTTCAATTTAAAATGCTTATGTAATTTCTTCAAACCTTTATTATGTAGTCATTTAAATAATGGCCATTGAACTTGTGGTATATACACATTTTGAAATAAAAAAGCATTTATAGATATTATAAAATTAAATTCCAAATGCAAAAAATTCTTTCTTTGTCATAATAGGAATATGCATTTGAAATAAAAAAGTGTCACTAAACAAGTTAGTCATATTTTGTTATATTTGGACTTTGTTCTCAACCATCTTGTGTTGATAATTTTTTACAATGTCATTTTTGGCACATTTTTATCATATTTGGACTTTGTCCTCAATCATCTTGTTGATAATTTTTTTCAATGCTATTTGTATTTTTTTTTGTAATTAATTGTAAACTTTATTTTTATTATATTCTACAAGACCATTAATTAGCTTTTTAAAGTATTTCTTGCTATTCTTCAGATACATCATATTTTTTATTCATTAATACAGTAGAACTCCAATTATCCGATTAATGGGGACCGGGACCCATTCGGATAATCAAATATTCGGATAATCAGAGTTTTTTTTTAAACATTGCCATTGGAGAGAAAAAAGTTACGTTTTGATGTTGCACTATTTTTTTATTGAATTAAATGAAAGAAACATGATATTTTCACATGTTTTAAATATAAATAATTTGTACTTATGTATAAGTTTAGAATTAAAAATCATTGTTTTTTAAACATCTCCGTCAATGTAAGCTGTTTTGCGGTCTTCAACCGTTTTCGGACAACCAGGTCACGCATTTTTTTTCTGAAAGTGATTCGGATAATCGGCGATTCGGATAGTCGGAGTTCGGATAATTGGAGTTCTACTGTATAGCAATCTATTTGTGTATGGTAAACTATTATCCATTCTTGGGTGTTATTTTTAATCCTTATTAATGAATTATTTTGTACTTAAATAATACTAATATTTTAGATTTTTAAACGACATATTCTTGAAGTTTCTTTATCTTTGTAGCTAATGTCTTTGTTTATTTTTAATTTTAACAGTATTTATACCCTCACTAAGTATATTTTTAAAGATCATTTGTTAGTAAAACTATATTTAAGCACATTAAATCTCTTTTATTTGGATGGTATTTTACATGCTGAAATTCAAACCTTTAATACAGAATCTTGTCTTTAGAATAATTATTCTACATGAAAATGTGTACATTATATAAACTGCTCACTGATGATTGTCTATTGAAATAGTAACATCATTAACCTTTCTATCACAAAGATAACGAATATTATCTATTTATAATAAAGATTAGGATTATCATGGAAATGTTAGTACTTTTTAATTGAGATAACTTAGCAATATTTATTAAAATGTATGTTTTCATATACCTTTTTAACCAATTCTGTAATTATATATATATATAAGCTATGGCTTCATTTGCACTGAAATTATGGAATATTTTGCCAGGTTTTTTTTTTAAGAAAGAGTCTAACTGTGGTTAGTTACTACAGTTCGAACATGTGCTGGCTCGACCGGGGAAGTACCTCACAAAGGATCGGCGTGAAATTCGTCCGATGAGTTAGACCCGGTCGCTCTTTCCCAGTTCCCACCCTTTCCTGCCTTTTCCTTATTGCCTCCCTACCTGTTCCTCAATAACCAAAGTTGGCCATGTATGTGCGACATCTCTGTTACGGATGTCTATGGGCGACGGTGACTACTGCTCATCAAGTAGGCCGTCTGCTCGTTTGAAATATTTCTCATTAAAAAGATGTCAATATTCTTATTTGTTGGAAGAATGAATCATCATTACTTGTCAAAAGTAGCAAGTATGATAGTGTATTGTCCAAACTGAGATGTCATTTGTTTGAATTGCACAAGAGTTTCTTTTAAACGCCGTTATTCCATTCGACAAACTTCATGTTTCTTTTACACCGTACTCAAGTTTATATTTCGTCCAATAAACAAAAAAATTAATATTGGCAAAATATTCCACAATGCCAATGCAAATGAAGCCATAGCCTAAAGAAAGTTTCTTTTTGTTAACCAAAGTAAAAACATTTTAAAGAGTTTATCTTTTTATCTGCCCTTTATTCTTTCTATATGTGTTGCATGTTTTTTTTTTCAACTAGTTACAGTGTACAAAGAATATCAATTAATAAGAACACTAATCTTAATATGAACTTGCAAGTCATACATGCAATATAAAGTCTATTAAAATTCAATTATTTGTATTAATATTTGTATTGTAATAGTACTGCAATACAATCTCAAATACATATGTATTTTTACTACTTATAATATGCGTAAAGTGGAAGTTTTCTGCATACAAATTTTGATGGTTGTTACAAAGTCGATTTATACTTAATTGTATTTTGTTTCAGTTCTTCCTGCTGGCTGTTCGGTGGAGGAAATCAAGATCCCAGTTCCGTGGGGTCACGTCGCTGGTCGCTGGTGGGGCCCTCGTACCAAGCAACCCCTTATAGCTATACATGGATGGCAAGATAATGCTGGTACATGGGACAATTTGATACCACTCCTACCACCTAACACTTCCGTGCTATGTCTGGATCTGCCAGGCCATGGCTTATCATCCCATTATCCTACGGGGATGCTCTATTACATTTTCTGGGACGGCATAGTCCTTTTACGGCGGATAGTTAGACATTTTAAGTGGAGTAAAATTTCACTCATGGGCCATTCGTTGGGAGGTGCTTTGAGTTTCATGTACGCGGCCTCGTTTCCTGATGACGTTGAGAAAATCATTTGCATTGATATAGCCAGTCCGGCTGTCCGAGCACCAGAACACATGGTGAATTCTACAGGCCATGCGGTAGATAAGAATCTTGATTACGAAAATTTGTCTGAAGACAAAATACCGTGTTACGATTATGAGGAGATGATAGATATAGTATGTGACGCTTATAAAGGATCTGTGTCGAGGGAGAATTGTAAAGTACTAATGAAGAGAGGTATGGCCCCTACTCCTTCACATATGAAGAAGAAGGGTTACCACTTCAAGAGAGACCCGAGGTTAAAAGTATCCGGTCTAGCGATGATGTCGTTGGAGACAGCCCTGGAATACGCTGGCAAAGTCACTTGTAAGGTTTTGAATATACGAGCAATACCGGGACAGAAGTGGGAACGTTTAGATTATTACATGGAGGTTGTGAACAGATTAAAAAAGAACGCTCAAGTGACATACGTAGAAGTAGAAGGCACGCATCACGTACAATTGAACTCACCAGAAAATATAATTAATATTATAGAAAGTTTCCTAGACATATATTAATTTATTAGATAATTATGTAGGTAATTACAAATTATGTGATATGTATGTGATGAATGCTATTAGCACAATGTATTTATAAATGCGGTGCTAGTATGTATATATTAATGCTTTTTGAAAGCAACGGGTGTTATTTTGTTGGGTATAACATTTGCTTTACGAGTTGCAGCTGTTGAATCATATAGATAAATTGATAAAGTGATTACACATGTAGACAATTTAATGTATTAGTTAATTTATTGACACAATTAAATAGTTTTTCTACAGGGAAATATAAATAATATTTTTATTTGTAATATTTTTTATCATTATATGCATATGTATGCAAATATTGTTGGAAATTTCTTTTGTTAAATATTCACAATTGCACAGATTGTATTTGCTTCCGATTGCCCTTCTTTTTTGCAATTTAAATGTCGTTGAAAAACTTAAACACAGTCATTTATGCGTACCTAATTCCTATCGTCTCAATTAAATGTAAAAGAGAAATTGTATACAGTATATTTTTTCCTAGAGCCGTGACTAATGAGTCATTCCAGTGATTTTAGCTAAATATTGTGTTTTTACAATATTGCAATAAAGATGTTAAGCAAATTTTCTTGTTTCATTTAAATAATCGGTTAATTATTTTTAATATTGGAAATGTGTTCGCAAATTTAGTTAGCTATATATGTGGGTTTACATATATACTGCATTTTTTTTAATAACATCTTCTATACAAAGTTACTTTTAATTTTACAAAATCACTTTCATCGGTGTCCTAAAAAAAATATGTAAATTACACGTTTGGAAATTTGAGTTCCTTTGTTAAATGTCAAAGGTGACAGTGACGCAATCGACAATGAAATACGTATTGAATAAGGTCACGCTAATTAATGAAGAAATTACAGAAACTTGTCAATTTGTAACGTTTTAAAATAAAACATTGTCTATTTTTAAATAATATTATAGTTTTAATGTGATTTTTGTACGAGAGGAATGAATGTTCTAACGTTAGTTTATCTATATACTTTTATATAATATTGCTCTTATCACATGACATCATACACCTTTCGTGTAATGAATGATCTTGATAATTTCATTGTTGAACTTTGAGCCTTGCCACTCCATATTGTGTGGTTAAGTGCCAAGTATATTTGCAGTAAAATCCAGCAACCATTAAGATTTCCACAGAGCAACTTTTTGTTATTACATTCAGGTACAACTGGTTTTGAATTACGTCCGTGGTGCGTCATTTTTATTGTCCCATATAACGGTAAACGGATTCTTACTTAACAGAAAATTTGTCGCCAAGTTTGTAAGACTTCAAGTAACCTGTAACTTTAAACAGAATTTCAGTTTTATGTTTATATTATAAAAATGCTACGTTTTTAGTCCTACGGAACTATTAATTTTTAAAAAGCAACTTTATCTATTTTTTGTAGTGAACATATTCGAAGTTTAGATTCTTACACTTTCACATTAGTTGACTAACGATTTAGTAAGGACAATTGTTAATGGAAGCCGTAAAATATCGCATTCTAAGCACGTGCGAGCGACAAAAAACTCAAGGCCACCACTTTTTCTTCATAAATTTTAATTAATTATACATAACAATTAAATAGTCAAATATATATATGTCGTCACGCCAGGTAGTGTAAATACTTCTAGCACATTTGAGATATTTTTCTTGTTATACTATACACATGAAACATATATGTATGACTTTAAGAAAACAAATAATGTGGCTTTTATAAATAGAAGTTGATGTATGTTCTTACAAATGCCAATATTTAATTATTTTTTTATAAAATGTAATTGTCAAACATATAAACCATCTAGTCTTGTTTATATTTTAATAAAAAAGTAATTTGATATTGAACAAAAACAATAGTTCAATTTTGCTTATGTTCTTCTTGAGAGGAAAATTTTCTATGAAGTAATTATTATTGTTACATAGCTTTATTATTAATTCATTCTTTATTCTTTGCAGTTTCTCAGACAGGAACCGTCCAAGCAATTATCCATATCCGCCGCAGATCTTATCTGTAACAAATAATAAAACTTGTAAAGGGGATAGCAAAAAAGTAGATAATCAAGTCACCTGTATTCAGTATTATAGATAAAGAAGTAATTTGGTTTCGTTTCGTGACAAGATTTTCTATTATAAATACAATTATATGTTTTTTTATAATATAATATCCGCAAATTGGTAATGAAATATTTCACACAACAAGAGTTATCAAAAAAAAAGTATTTATAAGCAAAAATTTTCCACGAAAATTATTATTACATCAAGTGTGTTTCCATGGATGTCACACATAACTGTCATTTTGTTTCCTATAGCTTTCTGTATTTTCAATTTCTCGTGAATTTGACGCCATGTTGAACTCGCTTTTTCTAGAACATTCATGTTACCGAAGATGTAGAAACCTGAAAAATATTATTTTATTATGACATATTTGTATATCAAATAATAAGATGGATTAAAAATATTACAATTTTGTAGTTGAAAACACAAATATATCTAGTAATAATGTCATATTTTATAAAAATTTTTTCGTTGGCAACAATGAAATCATGCAATATATATTTATTTAATGAAAATTTTTATTTAAATACATAAAAACGTCCAAAAATATCTGGATTAACATAAAGTAAAAGTTTTTTTTTTTATAAAATACGTCTTAATCATCATATTCAATACATATTTCTATAATAGCGTTAAATCGAATGTTTAATGCATACACGCACTTAGTGCAAATGAACACATGTAACTCAAGATTCTATGTATATACTGTAAAGGCTTAATTATTATAGTGTATTTGTGGTCTTACGAAAAATAAATCTAACACATACCTTCTTTGGCTCTAGATAGCGCCACACATATCCTATTCCTGGCATTAAGGAATCCTATATCTCCGTCTCTGTTGCTCCTCACTAATGATAATATAACTATCCTGCTCTCCTCGCCTTGATATTTGTCTACAACTACCACTTTGACGTTACTTAGATGATATTTTGACGCCATCTGTCAAATTGTTATTAATCATTTGTATACAGTGACTTATTGTTTAATATAAATGACTTATGTAGTACATATATAAATTAAATGGGGGTAGTTTAAAATTCATAATTCTCATCCTACCTCCCTAATAAGATTCATTTGTCCAGTATATGTTGTGAGTATTGTTATGTCTGCGCTGTCATATTTCATTCTTTTCAAGTAGGTTGCTAGTGAAACACACCACTTCGCTTCGAAAGAGTTTTTATGGCTCCAACTGTCTTCAAGACCCTGAAAGATTGAAAAAAATCTGGTTTAGATTTCAACCTGTGCTTGTGATTGAGGAACTGAACAAATGAACTGCAGTGTAAATTTAAAAAAAGGATGTGCCATAGTTTTTTATATTTATATATGTACATTAGAAGACCCGGCGAACTTCGTATCGCCTTATAATCAAGGAATATCTGTTACGTTTTCTTATTTATATTTTTGGAGTTTATCTATTAAAGCCATAAATCTCCGTGTTTTGAAGTGCGACAGAATGATTGACATATTAGTTTGTTGTCAAATCTAATGTCAAAAAAAAACATTTGTATCAACAATTACTAATAAATTAAAAATTAATTAAAAAAACATTGTCCAGCGGACAAAATCCCCTTGAACACACAAAAAATATCATCAAAATCGGTCCAGTCGTTTGAGAGAAGTTCAGTGACATACAAACTCACAGAAGAATTATATATATAAAGAAATACAAAAATACATACCTCAGTATCTTCCCAGACAGTATGATTAAAAAAGTACAAATTGTCCTTCATTCCCTTAACTTTCGGATAATCTACATTAAAACTATCCAATCTATCGTAGATCACGGGAACCAATAGTTCAACGAAGTTTCTCCTCATTCGCCTCTGAGTTGTTAGAGTGACCGAATGTATTTGATTTCTTATCATTCGTTCAAACAGAGATATTTCTAGATTGTATTTCTTTCCTAAGATGTAATGGGCTGTTGATGGTCTCAGTTGTTTATGGTCTCCTGTAATTATATATTATTTTATATAATAATATAATATGTACGACGCAGATATATTTTATATATTTTTTATGCTGTTCTTCTATGTGTAATTACTAAATTGTTTGTAATGAAATAGCCACATTAAGTAAAAATTTCGGCAAAGTTCTTGTCATCTAAGAAGCATTATAATTTTTTAGAGGAAACAAGGAAGTACATTAAAGGTAGATCAAATCTAGTTACATTATACTGACTTCCATTTAACCAAAGAAAGAAAATATTACTTTCAGTGTTATTTTAAAAAATACGTTTTACTTTCTTGATGTAAAGGAATCTTTGTAAATAAAAAGAAATTTATCAATTTATGAAAATTACTTACATATGTGATTAAATGCAAATTAACACGTTAAATACAGTCTTAATTTACATATTATATACATGTCATGTAAATAAAGATATGGTATTTAATTAAAATCCTTATCTGAATTTATTTCCTTCAGATTCATATAAAGTAATTATTACTTTTCCAAGCAAAACTTACCAATCAGTATGAGATGTTCACACTTGTGTGTAAGTGAAGCAACAATATGCGCCTCTAATACTTCAGCTGCTTCTTCAACAATAACTGGAAAGAACATTCATTTTATTACATACTTTAAATTACATTATTATAATATATTGTAGAAATATGTGAGGATAGGAGAGTGGCAAACCACATATAATCATTATAATATGGGATCAGGATTATTTTATGAGTTAAAACTTTCATTTGTGTTGTATCAACATTTGATTAATGATAAATTTAAATCGCGATAGTTTTATGTTGTTACTTTAAAAGGTTTTTATTTTTGTGTAAATCTAATAATAATTAATTGGGCAATTATGATATCTGTTGAATATTATTGTTATAAAGAAAAAATTTTCATCTTATTTCAAAGAATATAAACATATCAATCACCAACCCGTCTTGAGCATGCAAGGTGTTTAATGCTCAAACCTTCTCCATATGAGGAGAGGCCTTTGCTCAGCAGTGGGCTCTGATATGCTGATAACGATACATATGTATGTCCTAAGACATATATATCCTACTAATATTATATATACATGACGGCGCTTCGATTATGGATTAGTTTAATAATAAACTTCTTAGGGAATTCATTTGAATTGTTCCATAAAATTATGAGAGGCCAGTGCTGAATAGGGTAGCGATTGTCACTGAATGTGAGGACGGCCAGAATGCTACTGGCAACTGTCAAACAAAGTGCACAAACCTAACCTATTGGCTCATAATCCATTTTCATCTTGTTACTTAAATGTAATTTTTAAATACAGTTGTAAAGAAATCTAGTTATTATAAATTGTAAAATGCAAGTGTGCTTTTATTTATGAGTTCAAATCGTCACAACGCCCATAATGGATATGAAAAGCCAAGACCGCCATGAAGCGTCCTCCTGACATATACAGGGTGACTGGTGAATTACTATCGATACTTGAGGACGTGATATTTGACGATCATATATGACAAAATAAAAATTAACATAACAAAAATATTAATAAACTTCTAAGTAAAGTTAACCAAAAGTTATGTAATTGATTACGCATCGTGTGAACACCCTACAGATTAGGTATACACTCACACACACTCGCGTGCGGCGGCGTGTTGTTGTATCATCACGCCGCCGCACGCATCCACACTTGGAACACTTGGAACGTGTCCACACTTTATTTATTTATACGGAAATTTGGTCAAAAATTAAGTACCTATTTTTTTTACATAATTCGAATGAGAATCATGTATCGAGTATTCTCCTTAAATATTGATAGTAATTCACCAGTCACCCTGTATATAGACATACCCACACTACACCCCAGTTTATCCATAAGCCGGTGTCTGCTGGCCGCCCCACTGGTAGTAATGCCCACAACCCTCGCACATCCCAACACCTCTTCATCTATGAGGGTGCTGACTTCAGATAACTCTTCACTACACGCGCTGTGCTCTGTCTTAGATCAATAAGATTTTAAATATTGAATATTATAATATATATATATTTTACGGGTGTTCACCTTCTATTGGTTCTTTACAGAAATAATCTTTATTATTATTTTTTTCAAATAATAATAATTGTGCATATGAAAACATGTATAAGCAGGATCAGTAGTATTAGTGTTATAAAGAAATAAAATAAAATATACATTGAATACAACTATAGGTATAGTATCCGGCACGTGACTTGGCAAGAGATGGTAGATGAATAGAATTCAATTTCTAGGCATTGTATGTATGATGAGACAAGGCGACGAAACGACACAATCCTTGCGGGGTTGGATGTTAATTCCCGAATACACTCGCGAGCACATAAATTAGAGCCATTGTTTTAGTTACTATTACGAGTTATTGTTACTGAAAAGCACCAAAAGTGAACACTTATTTGCACTAAGTGTACATGAACAAACTTATCTCCATTACGCCAATCCCTTGGCCAAGTCACGTGCCGGCTACTTTTATAATGTTTGTGTTCTAACTAAGGGATTATTATTTTTGTTAAAATCATACTTATTTCATAATATTTGTTAAATAGTTATGTTATTTTAATGCTTACTTACTATCAAACGGTTCATCTTCTCAGTTAATTCACTTTTAACTCCGTCAACAGCTTTGAAGTATAATTTCCATCTGTCATCTTGGCTGAGTTCATATAAATCATTGACATTAGGAACATCAAGATTTCCATATAGTCTTGCAGAAACCATATATTTCTATAAAGAAAATATAATCATTATGAAAATGAATAAGGATGGATATAATATGATAATTGTTAATATAATCACCTTGAAAGTTTCTAATCTATTTTTCATTTTGGATATAAGATTTTGGAATTTCTCAATAGCATTATCTCTTTTGATTTGATCACTGTTTTCCTTTAAATACTTTATACTGTCATTCATAGTATCTATCTGTTTCAATGCATATTCTTCTGAGAAACATGTTTCTATTTCATCGTCACATTCTAGTAACTTCTCCCAATCATCTATATGTTCTTTTGAATTATTTGTTTCAAAGAGCCAGTCTAAGATTCCATCTTCAACACATGTGTTCAATTCATGTAGTACTTCACCAATTTTAAGATATTTCTTTATACTTTTATAACAGAGCACTTCTTTCTCACATTTCTCGATCACTGTTTGCAAATCTGTCATTTTTTTGAATATACCCTCAATTTCAGTACGTTTCTTTGAGAATAGATACGAATATTTCGATTTAGTTTTTATTCTAAGATTATTTATGTTGTATGGCTCTAATAATTTACTTTTGCTCTGACTTCCCAATCTAACAATGTTCTTGGTTATAATTAGGATGGCTTCTAGGAATTGATCAAGGGCGTGATTGGTGTAGCAAATTATTAGCATCGGGTTGTTTTGGAAAGAGAGATTTTTGAGTAGGGTAGAAGCGATTTTGACACCTAAAAACGTTTTTCCAGTACCAGGTGGGCCTTGTATGACAGCAAACTCTCTTGTCAAAGCGAATTTAAAGGCATTGAACTGTGATTGATCAAGCCCAAATGCTTCCAAAGTTGGCCACTGATCTGCATTAAGTACTGGAAAAGATATCTGTTGTGACTTGTGATCTTTGATTGTATATGTAGTGTTTTCTTTCAGGTAAGCCGGAGGATTTGATTCTGGCTGTAAATAAAGTTCATTCTCAATAGATTTAAAATATTTGAAATTATATTAAAATTTAAATATTCTAAGACTAACCTGCACATCAATAATATATTTCTTCATGGGTATAACATCATTGTACTCCTGTAAGACTTTTAATACTCGGTGATATGGCTCAAAGAATACTTCACTTTCAACCATAAGAAACTTTTCAGAATACACACTGCTTGATATTGAACTTTGAAAGGATACAGCAACCTGAAATTATAATAAATATTTGATTAAATATTTTATGTTATTATAGAACACTATATATTGTAAAACAATTAATTTATAAGCTAGGAGCTTATTACTAAAATGTGCTACAAAATTTAATAACGGTATCGGGATGAAAGTAAGCCTTAGTCTATGTCCTTTTTCAGGATTCCATTTATCTTTATACTAAAATTCATCCCAATCGGTTTAGCGGTTTAAGTGTGAAATCGTAATAAACAAACTTTAGCATTTATAATATCAGTAGGAACATTTCACGTAACTCAATACTTACATATCCAGATCTCAAGAGATCCAAACTAGAATCCAATACAGAAGCACATAGAATATTCTGGAAATTATCAGATGTGAATAATAATAATGATCCATACATTAGTCGTTTATTGTAAGCACATTTCCTGTAGTCAACCGAAATGTTTGATACTCTCTCAGTCCAAGCTATGTCCACTAAATGACCAACTTTATTATTGCTCACATATGCTCGGATTAAGCGCACTTTTGGATACACTCTGAAATGAAATTAAATCATTATTTACATAAGTAATATGATATATTTACTAATTTTATCCCATACTTGAAGTATAATTTAATTTACACAAAATTATATTTATGAGGTAATCTATATTAAAATTTGAAGTAAAGTTGAAATAGCAATGTTAAATATACAGTGAAAATGTGTGATAATAAAAAAAATATTTTTACCTTATATTTTCATATTTTCTTTTCAAAGGATTTGCTAGATATTTACCTAAAAATTAAAATTGTATATCAATTTAAGAACATACATATACCCAATAAATTTAACTAAGTTTTCTCTATATATGTATTTTATGTAATAATGTTTACCAACTTATGCCTTCTCTCAGTGGACCAAAACAATCTTCTCTTAACAGTTTAAATTGCAAATCCAAGTAATGTTCAACGGATGGATATGCACCATTTACTATATGCGGTACAATTTTAACATTACTTAACTCAAGTAAGTCATCTTTGGACGGAAATATGTTTAAGTTTCTGAAATTATGAGGATCACTGCTTATTGGTTTCTCAGTAGGTTGTTTCGTATTCTGAAAATATAATGAAATTATTTCATATAGAATGGTCCTTGATGCTATAACAATGCAAAAAATAAACATTTGGATATTAAAATAATACATACATTTTTTATTGCTTTTGATATATCCATTTTTAAGTCATTGACTTGTTCATAAAAATTTTCACGAATAGGTTCCATATGCTCTTCCTGCACTCCTAAGGCACTTAGTTCTGATACTTCCAACAAATCATATAGCTCTTGTAAAGTCTTACTGTTTACACCAAAATTAAACATAGCCTTACACAGCTCATAAACTTGAAAGTAAAAACCCTCTACGTCGTTCCAAAATTGCATATTCATTCTCTTGTCAACCAATCTAACACTTGGTAATCCATGTAAATAATTCTTCAATTTAATCAAGAAGTCAGATTTTTCAAATTTATTTCTCAACAAGTTAACAATTTTTGTTCTGTCTGTCGGCTCCAATGAATTGTAAACTGTCGCAATAACTTTTGTTATCAAAACAATAAAATCATCTTTTATTTCCGAATTGAAAAGAAGCCAAAATCCTGGTCGATTAGAAAGTTCTAAATTTAATATAGGAGGTTTTAGATATGTGATGTCGAGCAGCCGTTTAAAGCCTATGTGTTTCTTTTCTCTTTCTTGAGGTTTAGTTGGAGGCGGTATAGAATTTTCTTCATTTCTAAAAGATGTATTTGGTCTTGTCTCTTCAGTAACTGAACCGTCGAACCAATCTATCCGTAAAGATTTATTGCTTTCTCCCATAATAAGTTAGAAATATATATTTATTATTTTTCAATATGTACTCTTAGTAATAATTGAATTCTTAATTCTAAATAAAATTTCAATTAATTCTAAGTTATAACTAACACCTGTAATATGTAAATGTGTCAAAATTGGTATTGACATGTTTTGACATTGTAATTTTTTTTGGTTATGTTCGTTCCGTTCAGAACAGGCAAAGAGAACAAAGCCATACAGCCATGTCTTTTGTATTTTGTATCTTTATTTATTTGTAAATGTCTTAATCTCCTTTTTTATTCTTGACTCAAGTTTTTATATCAGGCCTAAGCTATGTCTTCTTTTAATTTTCTTCTTAAATCATTTTTTAAATTAAAGCATAAAGCCAGGTCTTCTTTTAATTATTCTTCTTAAATCATTTTTTAATTATAAGGCCGAAGCCATGTTTTTATTTAAAATATTGTTTTTGTCAAATTCTTGTTTTTTTTTTACACTTCTTTTTTCAATGTCAAGTCCTTGTAATGTCATTTTTAGTACAATTCATTTGTCACAATCGATGAAACGGTCAAATTTTGAAAATAGCTGAAAAACAAATATCTTAACAAAACGAAAAACTTAGTACTACATACATATGTACATATAACAATTAGATTTCATTTATAGTAGAACCAATAAAGCTATAAACTGGCAAGAAGCTTTCTGGAATTCTTAGTATTTGCTTAAGGGAGAGCGGGATATCTTCAGCAGTTTTAAAAATATTTAAAAGTCGGTCTACAAGGACCATCCTTTGAATACTAAACTGTGGACAGTCAAAAAATATATGTTCGAGGATTCATCAGCACTATTGCAATATCTACAAATTGAAGAGTCAAAAACACCAATCCTAAAAAGGTGAGCACCAAAACGACAATGTCCAAGACGCAAACGATAGATTGTGGTGTAATACTTTCTATGGCTATAGTCACTACCCCGGGTAAACCAGGAGGAAGAGACCTTTTTCTTTATTGTAGCAAACCATTTTCCTTTTACCTTTACCACCTGATGCCATAAGTTGTAAAATTCTTTCTGTAACTCGAGTTTGAAGAGGGATAGAGCGTCTGAATAAGGAATTGGGAAATTTAAATGCTATGACTTAATTGATTGTGGGCCGGATTTGTAATAAATTTAGCTAAATAGTCTGCTTGCTCATTACCATGCACACCAATGTGGGCTGGTGTCCAGAATAGGACTATTTGCTTGTTTTGAGACAGCAGGTGATACAACTCTCTTATTTTATACATAATATAGTTAGTTTTTGAATTTGATTGTGGATTTTGTAGTGCCGTTAATAAACTTAAACTATCCGTTATTATAATCCACTTTGGATGAGTCTGTGTTTGAATGTGCTCCATAGCTGTGTATACATATTCAGCGGAGTATATGCTTGTGAGTGGATTCAGCCTGTGGCCGAATCCACTTTTGATCTGACTATCATAGACAGCTATAGAGACTGCTTCATTGTTCCTAGATCCATATTCTGTTTATATCTGATGATATCCCTGCCACCTATCAAGTTCCCTATAAATGTCTTCCTTATACTTAGAAGACTTTTGACTACAATTTTAATCTGCATAAATTTTGATTCATATAACCCAGAGTAACAAGGCCATACCATGTTAGAAAAAACATTGTGTTTATTAAAAATTTGTTCTGTTTCAGAAAAACCGTGAAACACATATGAATTACTATTGGCAGTCCTGTTAATAGTGTCCCGCAGTTTAACAAGAAGTGGATAGTTAGTTGCAAAAAATTTTGATTGTAAGTATTTAAACCTAAGTGCTAATGGAGGTATATTACATTCCACCTGCATTTACACTATGGGAGTAGTTTGCATGGCACCCATTATAATACGCAAACATTTATTTTGTATCTTTTCTAATTTATCTACTATAGTTATTACCCCTACAAAACAAATAAAAGCATATTCAAAATGACTCCTTACTAATGATTTATACAATGCTAATAGAACCCTAGGGTCAGCAACCCCCTATATGTGCTTGTTAAAGATTTTAAAACATTACAAGCATTTAAAGCTCGAGATTCTAGAGTTTCAGCATACTTATTCCATCTAGAATTGTTTGGAAAAATAACACCTAAAAACTTTACATTATTATTGAACAAAATATTTACATTCCTATTTCTAATTCCATTTTTTGAAAAGACAACAACTTTACTTTTTTCATTGCTGACCTCCAGCCCAGGGCTATCAAAATAGTTCTTTAGTCTTTGGAGAGCAACATTGAGGACTGATTGTACATGTAAAAAATTAGTATCAGAGCAATAACCAACTAAATCATCTGCAAACTGCAGATTAGATACTTCACACCCCAGAGTTAAATTTAGCTGATGTAGGAATAGGATAAAAAGCAATGGGCTCAATACACCACCCTGTGATACACCCCTACAAGAATATCCTGAACCAAATAACTGATTGTTAACCTTAACAAACACCTTTCAGTAGTTTAAAAAATTAAAAATCCAATTTACAACTTTTCCAGGTACCTGTAGTATTTACATTATTGAAAGCCCCTACAATGTCAAGAAAAACACCAACTAGTATTTTATTCTCGGAACGAGCATCGTGGATATCCAAACAGAAATGGCGTAGACTCTCACAAGCAGAACGGCCACAACGAAAGCCAAACTGATTGTAAGGTAAAAGATTATTACTTTCTATGTGAAAAATTAATCTCTGTTTTATTAATTGTTCGAAAATTTTTCAAACACATGAACTCAGTGTAATAGGACGATAAGAATCAGCCAAATTAAAGTCTTTGCCAGGTTTTAATATTGGTACCAAACAGTCAGTTTCCCAATCCTCTGGGACTATGACTATTTAATAGTCTTTAAAAAACAGATAGTTTGAACATTTAAAAGTTTCAGCATTCTGTAGGAAAGCCAATCCAGGCCACATGAAGAATCTTTTCTTGAGGCTAAAGCAGATTTTAACTCTTGCATAGTAAAACAACCGATCATGTATGAATTATCACTATTTACTCCAAGAACATTATCTATACTTATCTGTTGTGAAACAGTATCCGGTGTGTATTTATATAGAAATGTTTGAACCCAATTGAGGTCAGAAAATAAGTTAGAACTCGGAAAGCTTTTTTTGAATTTTTTTATTTTAGCCCACATGCGATTTATAGATGTCAAACTATTTATTGATGAGCTGAATTCAGGCCAACTTTTACAATGTTCTTCTTTTAATGTGCGTTTTTTAAAGGCTTGTGCGCGTTTGAAATTAATGTAATTTTTACTATTAAGACTAGTTTTGAAATTAATGTAGGCCTTCTTGCAGTCTTCTACTACTTTTGAACATTTATCATTTCACCAAGGCACTTGACACCTTTTTTTAGGACGGTTATTATTACTATCAGTTGTGTTATGGTTTAAGTTGGGCCCGGAGAATTTGATTGCCCATAGAATAATTGCTCAAAACTTTCTGTATGAGTCAAGGATCTCCTATTATAGTGATCTCACTATTGTCAACTTTATAGTTCATTAACATTTTATTAACAATTTGTTCATAACTATCCAAATTTACTAATTTCAGATTGCTGTGAAAAGGAATGTTGTTCAAGGAAATAGAGGGTTCATGTTGATCTCTTACAAGAGTAAATTTTGTGATAGTTGGCAGATGATAACTGCCTAAAGTTTTGGTTTGGTTTCCAAATATGAGAGTCTATAGTTGTTGGTTGACCATTATTTCAAAAGTATTAATTCATGGTCATCCATGGAATCCATAATAGCTTTGCCCCGAGAATCTTTGCGACTGCAACCCCAAAAAGTATGATGGGCGTTAAAATCGCCTGCAATTATCAACGGTTTTGGAATACTGTACAATAAACGATCGAACTTCGCCTTTTCATAAGCAGGAAATCTATTATTACCAGGACTGTAAAAACTAACCAAAGATATGCATTTAAGTTTCAGTTTAATAACAATTACTACATTTTGTAACGAATCATCATAAAAAGTTAGTTTAGAGAAATGTATACCATTTTTAATTAATATTGCTACGCCATTATGATCCTTACCGCAGTCATTCCGAATAATGGTATAACCACGTAAATTAAATTGAATATTAGGCTTGAACCAAGTTTCTGAAATAAGACCTACATGTATATTATTTTGGTATAGAAAATTTTGAAACTCAAGTCTGTTACTTAACAGACTTTGAGCGTTCCACTGTACATATTTAAGATTTGGTGGTTGAATGTGACGATTTGCTATTTTTATCCTGTATGGTTTCTTTAATAGCTGAGCTAATAAATTGTGAACTAATACTTTTGTTTTGAGTTTTATTTACAGTTAAAACTTTTACTATAGATTCTGTTAATAGAGCCATTTTTACAAAACTTAGCCAGATGATCAAAGCGTAAACATTTAAAACACTGTTTTATAGGTGGGACATATGTGGAGACAGGCAGGCGCCACATCTTAATGTGAACATAGTCCGGCAGTGACGTAGCACACGCAAAAGTTGTTACTACGCTCTGAGTAGGTTGCAGTGTGAAGGTGTTATTTTCTCCTTTTACTTTACGCATTATGCGTCGGACAGAAATGACTTTTTTTGTTGTTGATATTGCTTTATATATTTTGTGATTGGATAGATGAGTGGGAACCGAAGAGATAACTCCCGATAGTTCGGTGGCCCCTGCTGGTATTCAAGCTTCAAGTCGTTGTTCCTTTAGATATGTAGTATTTTCTAAAAAGGCATTTGCCAAAGTCGCACGTTGGAAAACAACACCGACCTTTTTTTTAAATATTGTATACCTTTCACAGAGCGTATGAAACTAGTACTAAGCGACATCATGTCCCTATTCCCGAGTGGGACATCATTAGTACTTTCGACAAATACTATGAATTCAGACTTGGCTTCCGCATCTGCAGGGTATCGCCGACAATAATCAGCGACCCTAAAGGGAGCGAAGGCATTTGCATCCTGCAATACTGGCGAATCCTCGCAATCGGAATCGCTGCTTGTGCTGAAATTCAAGGACTCACCCGAATCCTTCTTTTTACATTTTTTCACCATCTTTCCACATAAACACTTACATACAGGCTAAGTTTTACTTCTTTACAATAAACTAAACAAAAATTTGCAAATTATATGTAGTATAAAACTATTTAAAACTAGTTTTTGCCCGCGACTTCGTCCGCGTTAGTTTCGTCATTAGTAATATATGTATAGCTGACCAGGCGAACTCTATTCCGTCTTAGAGGCCATAAATAATCAGGTTTTTCCTGTTTCAATCAAACAGAATGATTGACATATTAGTTAGTTGTCAAATCTAATGTCAAAAAAAGCATTTGTATGGGAAATAGAAAAGGGCTGTTTTTAGGGTTTTCCCGGCAATTATTCCAATTTTTCTCACCTTTTATACCTTTCCTGAACCTCCACGAACATTTCAAGACTAAGATAAGACAAATCCGTTCAGCTGTTCTCGAGTTTTAGCGAGACTAAGGAACAGCAATCCATTTTTATATATATAGAAGAAGAAGATAATTAAAATTTTCAAAAAGCCCGCGTTGACGTTTCAATTCCCGCGCTCTTTTTTCTTGACATTGTAAAGTTGTTGTGTAGACCGGGCGCTAGAGGTAAGTGAGTATGCAAAATGTGAGTACCAAATTTCGCCAACGGATTTAAGTGAGGAAAAGGTCAAAGAATAATAATATGGATCTTGCCGGTCAATTTTTTGGTCCATTTTTTTTTACCCCCTCTTCTCTTATTAATAAAGGGAATGTATTTAGTACATGATATAAAATCGCTTTTATGATTATTTTCGTAATAGTTTATAGTATTTTCTCGTGTTATAAGTGAAGATGGATTCTTAAATAATAAAAAAAAAAAAACAAAAATTACTGTAATTAATTTTTTTTTATTGATAAGAATGAAAGTTATATATGAAAACCAGCTAATTAAAGCATAAATGTAGTTAAAGTAGGTAAAAAATTAATCATTTTTATTTTCACATTTGTTATTGATGCATTTACAATCTACATAATGAAAGACAAAACAATTCCGATTTTTTGCAATTACAAAACATTGTGCGACAATTTGAAGTACATTTACATGGTGGAATTAATGAATCTGGTAAAGACGGCTTAATGTTTCTTCATTGAAGTCGTTGTTGTCGATGGAACCATGAAGGAATAACGATTAATTTTGCAGTCTCAATGATGGTGTTTTTTGAATTGATGTTCCGAACATATTCTATTATTTCCGGCAATGGTATATTTCCCATAGACGCTAATGATGATTTTGATCGATCAGTCGGGTAAGAAAATAATATGTTTTCACCAAATTTATCTATAAGTAGTGATTTCACAACACGATTTTCGATCACTGCACCCTCAATATTTGTAAGTTCAGTGAGTCGTTGAGCTAAGAAACGCACTTCAAAAGAATGTGTTGGTAACCGGTCTTTAATTTCATCTATTAGTTTGTCAAATGCATCGATAAGTATTTCTTTAGGGATTTGATTTGCAGCTGGCAATTCCGAACTTCTCGGTAATCTTAAATAATCAAGGTAACAATGTTTGTGATATCTCACTCCGATAGCAAATAAATCTTCAGGCCGTTGACAAGTACTCAGATCAGTGAAAACATGATCTTCTTTCCTACGTGCAGTACCAAAAAATTTTTCCGCTGCTGAAATTTCCGAACATAAATGTAGCTGCATATCTTGGTTTCTTCTTACCTTCTTACAAAATATGCATTTCAACGATTTTTTCAACGCTGCCGGTTCCCTTGATGACGAACGAGATTTTGGAGTTAGCTCCTCCACGTTTGCTTTGGAAGTTGAAGCAGACACTTCTTCTTCTTCTTTTTTATGCAACGCAATTTCTCGACGCCTTATAAGTGGCTAAACAGTCTTGATGCCATGAAAATTCTTGTTTTGTGGAGTCTGGATCATATAGTTTTGAAAACTTCTCACTAATGCTGTCCTTTCTCCTATTTGCTGCTTCTTTGATATGAAGCAACGTACTTGGCCTTGGGTTCTTCACTAAATCACTTGAATTATCGCAGAATAAGCAAAATTGTTCATTAGGTTTTTATCTTTTCAAATTAACCACTTCTAACGACATTTTTTATGTTTTTCAATACAGTACACTTTGAACAGACACTAAAAATTTACGAAAATACTATTATTTTATATGATATATAAAAAAACGACTTAAAAATGCAACGTCTGTACGACAATAGATGTAGAAACACACTAAAAAAGTGTGTTTATGTATAGGCGGAGAGGGGATGTGAAGGGAGCAAGAAGGGACCATAACACGTGGCGGCAAGATGTGTTTTGTCATTATTTAGGGTCTCAGGTATAAGAATCCGGTCACAGTTGCCGTCACTCGGATTTTGCATACTCAACTACCTCTAGCGCCTGGACTAGTGGTTGTCATTGAAATTGTAACTGCTTCAGATTCTATGTTTCGGAAAGCAAATTGGCAAAAATATTTTTTAGAATAAAAAAATAATAACTTAAGTTAATCAACCCTTACTAAGATAAAGTGAGGTATAAATTTCAATGATTTTATTTACAGGTACAATTCAAGATCAAAATTGTTAGCTCATTACGAAATTATTTTTGAACTCAGTCAAAATACATAATTTATTTTAAATCGTTTTCATTTAATTTGAAAGCAAAAATTTTAAGTTCAAGATATAGAAGAAACGACTATTATATTGTTTTGAAATTTTAATGGACGACAATAAAGTAATGAAAAATAATAATTTTAATTTAAAAATTGTTATTATTTCGAGAAAAAAACACCTTAAAATACTTGCATAAACCTTATAGACCAGTGTCGATAGGTTTTAAAACAAAAAAAAATATAGTAGAATGAAACCTATTTAGAAAAGGAGGGGAATGTTATAGATAATAAAGGAAAAATAATTTACGGGCGATCTGAGGTCGGGAAGAGTATGGGGGTGGGCATTTAATGTTAATAATATAATCAATTTAAATACATATGTTTTATAAATTACATATATGTTTTACCAAAGAATAGAAATGTAAAGATAAAGATATAATCTGTGTTATTTTTATATATTCTGCAGAATGCGTAATTTCGTAAAATTGCTTATATCTCGTTTTCGCCCCAGAGGGTTCAATCTTATTTACTCCACTTTCAATTTCTCGTAATATTTTATAAGATATCCATTTTAAAAGATAATTGGAATAAATAACAATAGTATAGTGATTGTATGGGGATTTTATGAAAATTTAATCTTTAGATCAGTCAACCAGCATTGTAGTTATTTAGTTCACAATTAATGCATAATAGAAATATTTGTAAGAGTTATTATTTATTTTATGTCAATAAAGGTTATATGTAACAAATATAATTTCGGTTTTAATATTTTTTTGGCCTCAAGCTGTTTTATAGACTTAAATCGAGTCTCTTAATTATAAATGTTTTACTTTTAGTTTCTTAAAATTGCATGCAAATGAGATTTTCGAATCATAAATAATGAGACGTTAAAAAAGATAAAATGCAAATAATTTTTCTATTTAGGACAACTTCAAATCTTTATTAAATGCATATAACAGTAAATCTAGTATACTTTTCCACACAATGAGACAAAATCTATATTTTCTTAACTCAGTTCACATAGTTTCCTGAAGTTACCAAACAGTGTGATCTCTGTCAAATGTTTTGGAAGGACTATAATACACATATCTATCGAATTCAGATATCTGTTGGCCGTCTATATTCAATAACATCGTCTAGTGTCATTCACCTTATAATATCAGAAAACGGTTCTGAAATTACATAGAGTGAATTTTATTTTTTAAAACAAAAGTATCTTAAAAAAGAAAATCTAGGGGAGAGTTGGATAATACCGCGCCCCTAAGGAATTTCACTTATAATTAGGAAACTGTTTGATTTTAAAAGAAACAAAATTTTGTGACCATTAGGACATTTATTCAGGTACGCATACCGTATAACAAAAACTTCCAAAATTCAAACAAAAAATAATAATTATCGTCATGTTACAAAAATAACTACAGGCGCGGTATTATCAAACTGGTCCGATAATATCGTGCCCAGGGTTGATAAAATCGTGCCCACATTAATTGCACACAAATGGGTAGATAATAAAATTAATAATAAAAAAATACAATTACAAAACTTATAGTTTATGACAACAAAACGTAAATCTTATTTTATAACTAGGAGTCTTACTAAATCTTTGAATTATATATAGACTAGTCAGTCTCAAAAATACCTCACATCAATTAAATAGCAAGTAAAATTAATCACGGCAAAAATCACATATAAAATTATTAGCAGAATCTTTTCCGCTACATTCCTTGTGTATCCAATTCGCGCATCTACAACAACGGAACCAGATTTCTCCATTACGACCAAACTCTTGACATACGGCGCAAATATCACGATTTTCTATATCGTCATCTTCATCATCATCGCATAGTTGAGTTAGAGGCACATCATCCATGCTATCTTCACTGCTGCTGTCAATAATTTTTTTAGACTTTCCTTTGCCTTTCGATTTTCCTTGCTTGACCTTTTTCTTATTGCTTTTCATATTATTATCTTCATCCTCACTAGTTTCGCTACCATTCAAAACTCTTCTCTTGACAGACTTTCCTTTAGATTGTTTCTTTTCTTTGACTTTCTTCTCTGCAGCGTTCTTTTCTTTTGCTATCTTCATTTGTCGCTTTCGTTCTTTTTCCTCTAATTGCTCTTTTAATGGAGTTGATGTGAGAATAATAGAGTGCTGTTTTTTAACACGTCTCTGTATTTTTATTGTCTTTTGTGGTATAGGACTCAAATCTTCTAAAATACGTCGTGAAGTGCTCGGCTCAGCGATATCTTTTCTGATAACTTCATTTATAGCAGCGGAAGGCGTCTCTTTATTTCTATTGCTGTTAAATGGTATGCCCGAAGATGTCTCTTTAGCAAAAATGTCAACAGGATTCTGGTCGGTTTGTATCTGGGGAATATGAGATCTCATTTCATTGGACCAGTCTAAAATTGATGGTGACGATGGCAGACCTCGAGTGGATTCGTCATGTCCAATTGCTGGTTCTATAAACTCATTTTCGACAACTGATTGCCTAACTTCCGAGGATACTTCTTCAATGATAGGATCAGCAGTTAAAATATCTTCGTCGTCAAAAATATGAGGATTCAATGGATATATCCCAGTCACCTCAAATCCCTTGATAGCCTTTTCCATCGTAGCCACTCGAGTAAAAGCTTTATTAAATATTGAAGCTAAATGGTCATGCGTAATTTTTTCAAATGGATGCATTTTCATAAATAAATCACATTCTCGAGAATATGCTGATTTTAATGGCCCATAAAATGTTACATCGAGTGGTTGCATCTTATGCGATGTATGAGGAGGCAGAGATAAGAGATGAATTCCATTTTCGCGACAAAATTCATATGCGTTGAGCGATTGATGACTGCAATGATTGTCTAGAATAAGGAGCGCCGGATTTTGCTTATGAGCACCAATATTTGTAGCAAAATGATGCAACCATTTGGTGAAAAGATCTTCATTTATCCACCCAGATTTAGAGCATTCATAAATTGCGCCTGGTGGACCACCAATTTTCAGGGATGGTTTAATTCTTTGTCGTGGATAAATAAACATCGGCGAAACATATATTCCTGTAGCACTAAAAGCACATACAACTGTGACGTTCTGGCCACGTTCTGCACTCGTAGCTTTTCCGACTTGCTTTAGTCCTGTTGGAGCATAAATTTTACCTGGTTTTTGAACGTTGCTAATACCTGTCTCATCAACATTAAAGATTCGATTGGCTGGAAAATTATGCTTTGTCATAAGTGTCTCTAAGTTAGTGAAAAAAATGCCTATTTCAGATTTGTTAAATACCAAAACCCTGTTTATACTTGTTGGCTCGGGAAGCCTCAGAGAAATTCCAGGATTTCTTTTCAAAAAGGAATACACCCAACATTTTCCCGCCATCTTTTTCTCTGACGAAAAAATATTTTTAATATTTTTTGCAATGGCAAAGTCATATGCCAATTTACGCAACTGTTGTTGAGTTATCCCATAAAACTTTTTTGCCATTAAAGTAATAAATGAGACCATTTCTTTCTCTTCTTCTTGTGTAAATGTGGCCTTTCTCCCCATGGGGGGGTCATAATTTTCTCCCAACTTAAGTCGATCCCTAATTGTAGATTCGGGGATTCCAAAGTTTCTAGCAGCTGCCTTTATTTTGCTCCCGTTTCGTATAGCTTCAAGTGCAGCCTTCAAATTTTCGGGATTCCATGACTTTTTCTTTTTCTTTGGCACAGATTGGTCCATCTAAAACGGAAATAATACATAAAGCTATATTATCATAATTTGTAAGTAGGCATTATATTTATTTATTATATTATTTTTATTTTCATAAAAAGGCAAGTCATAAAAATCACAACAATCGATGCCACACACAATTGTTTATCTTAAACTCAATAAATTGATCAAAATTGGTATTTTTGCTTTAGATATAAAATACCACAAACAGATTCAAATAAGTTCAAACTCTTTTGTCGATGTTAAGAGAAGTTAATGTAAATAAAACGTACTTTTCATAGTTTACAATTTCGCGCCCTCGACTGATAATACCGCGCCCCAGCGCGGAATTATCGAACTCGATCATTTTATTTTTTAACCTCAAAATTATGAGGAAAATATTATAGCCCGTAAAAACTTACTTTGACATTAATTCTACAGTACACAAGCATTCAAAAAGTATAGTATGAAAGTATTATAATATAAATACAGTATTACTTACCTCTTATCGAAAGTATACGAAAAATTATAAGGAATGACGAATAAAACTTCCAG